TACCAATGATCTGTAAAAGTTACAGAGTTTTAATTGATCTGATCATGCAATTCCTAGAGGCAGGAACAATTATCAGAGCCAAAGGATAAACCAGAGGACACTGCATGTAACTATTTTTTCAGGAAATCCCTGTGATCAGCTGTTCCATGGAACAKGCAATGTATAACAAGCCATCTCCATCATCCAGCCAGCATCCAGCAGGCTCAGCAAGAGGCACACGATGCAAACTCCTGCCAGCAAGTGAAGTTCTGACATAATTCTCAAAAAATTCATCATTATTAACACAAGATGAAACTAGCTACCACCATTCCAAGAATTATATGGAAAAAAACAGCTATAAACTCCAGCAATCAGCACTCTCCTTCACACCTTGCAAGCCCCCAGTAGAGCCACTGTGCCAAAACTTGTAACTTATTTTGTAAACTCAATTGAAATTAATCTAGATGCTGCAGAGTGAGCAAAAAGCCYTCTTTTTCCTTCTGGAGTACAACCAAGTGTGGAAGAAAGGCTGGAATTCAACAGCACACTGCTAACAGAGAAACCTGTGACAAAGGCTGGAAGACAAAAAACACTGCAAGAGCTTTTGCTTTTCTAGACTAGAAATTAATTTGTTGTGTGAGTCCACGCTTATCCATTTTCTGAACACTAAAAATACTTTCTGACAACTCACATGCGCATGTGCAAATATGCCCTGAGAAAATGCCTTCTCCAAAGGCTTGGTAACAACAGGCAGAGGCACCTTTTTGGCTCCCTGGACACACAGAAGGATGTGGGGCCACTTCTTTCCACCAGGGCAGGACCTTTACCACTCAGGGAAAGCAAGTTCTGGCACGTAATTCTGTGTTAGCAYGCTGGATTCTCCCTGCACTTGGCTTAATTGAAAGAGGACTAATTTAGCCTTTGGTTGTTCCAGAAGGTGCAAGGGCAGAGCCTACTTCTCTGCAAAAATGAAGTGAGTAACGTCAATTTTCTAGGTCTGCTGTTAACACTCAAGACTACCCAACAGGAAACCTGCAGCCAGGCTCTTGCCTTGGCTAAAAAATTGTTTTCCATCTAGCACATATTTTATTCACCATTCACATGARATAAATTGCCATGGTGTGATGCAGCCATTACATGGACAGGAGCTGGACAGCCTGTTTTAGAAACTAGCCCCCTGTAAATGGCAATATTCATTAAAAAAATAGAACTCAGCAAGGAGGACATAACCTAAATGTCAGAAACAAATTCTGTGGAAAATTTTAATTATTGAAGTTGTAATCTTCCAAATGTGAGTCTGTGGTTGTACCAAGTCGACAAAGAACTCCAAGCCTCCTTTCTGCTCTTCAGCCTCCCAAAGCAGTARCATGAAATGGATAATAAAAACATTTGTCCAGAACAGTGTGAACACAGGAGCAGGTGAGACTTGTGCCAGGCTCATTTTGCTGCTTCTAGGCTGCTGACTCCTGACCAGGAAATATCCATGAACCACTGATCCTATGACCACATGAACAATCCGACTTCTCATCAATCTTTCCTACCAATATGTAAGTTTGGCACCTTGATGGCAAAAGGGGCCAAAAGCATGCTTGGAAAAACACTCTTCTTGCAGCAACAGCACTAACACCAGCTCAAAAWGCTGCAGCCTCCTCCTCCAAGCAGTTTTTTCAGGTTCAAAGGAGAACTCCCTTTCTCCAATTACATTCTATAAATTCCAGGGAAGTCAGCTCTTGGAAGCCCCTGGAAGGAGATATCCAAGTTTAGAAAAATTATCCAAGAGCTGTCTTGCAACAAATGTTTGTAGACAGACTGAATCAAGGCAGTCCTTCCTGATCTTAAAATCTTGTAGGGTTTTTTTCTCTTAAGACCCGTATGGGACAATAAGATCTAAGATGGCATCAATCTCATCCACAGAGTTTCTAAAACAGCAATTCCATAATGGAGGAATGGTGGAGGTGACAGGTCTGGTAACCCAGAAATAAATCCMTGCCTCTTCAGAAATGTGACACGAAATTAATCACACCACCACAATGTCACCCATTTGCTTCTCCTGTCTTCCTTTCCCTTATTCCTCAGAGGACATGAGGAAAGACAAAAAGAGAAAATTAGTTCTGTAAGGAGAAAATGGAGAAGAATTGAAATGGAAGTAGAAGGACACCCTCCYATTTAATAAAATTGGGAAAAGTGGGTACATGTTCCTTTTATCAAAGCAGAAGGTTTCTTTCTCTACAACTCCACAGATCCATAACCACCTTTCAGTATCCCATCCACACAGAGATTCCTACTTCCAACACATTCCATGCTGATTAACCTTATCTGCATTACTTGAAAATGCCCAAAGTATCAAACACTAAGGGTTTTTTTCCATGTCTCACCTTCAGGAAATGGTATTTTACCAAGTCTTTCCCCAGCAATCCCCAACCCCAGGTTTGCATCTTCATTCTCATATCTCACCAGGGTTTTTTTCAAGCAAACAAGGACCACTAACTGCTCCTGCACAAACCTGAACAACCTTAATGTCATGCAACATTCCATGATCCAATTTCCTCCACRTGTGCTAGAACCTACTGCCAATTTTAGTACCAATTTTACGAAGAGCCACATTCCCAACATCCAACAAGCCTCACTTTCCCTCAATCTATGAACCCATGAGCCCTGCCAAACCCAGAACACCTGTTCTGAACCTCCCACTTGGAAATCTCTGCTTTCTCCTCCAACATTTACTTCTCACTACATTTGTCCATGCTCTGTGCCTCATCCCSTCACCCACATCTTCAGCTGCATAGGTTTTTGCTCCTTTGCTGCAGCCAAAGCCAAAATACGCTCCTTTCCTCACCTCAGGGCTGATGTTTCCTTCCTCAGCCCCGTTTCTACTTCCCGTGGGCAGCAGCTGACTGGCCAAACTCTCTGGTCTGAGTGCAGGACATGTACACCCAATTCTACCACCACACACACTTGGAACAAGAAGACAGCAGGTTTCACTAACAACAGAAATTATACTACCAGGTATTGCCGTAAATCACCAGAGAAGGATGAAATAAAGGAAATTTCTCCCCACTGGCAAGATGGAAGGGAAGGATCACTGCCTACCACCAAAGATGGACGTTCTTCATGCTCAGGGGAAGGTCTGGACCTTTATGATAAGCCCTTCCCTGTCTGGAGCCATCCAAAGAGAACGGGAATTTGCACCACAAAGTTCAGGTGAATCTTCTCCTGAGGTCAGAGCACTGCCTGCCCTGAACTTGGGAYTGGACATCCCAGTACCAGTTTTCATTTTCCAATTACAGACACAGAGAATGTGCTCTAGGAACTGGAACATTACCCTAACCCTAGTTTTAGGGCTAATTAAGGAAATGATGAAGCGTCACACTTTCCCCAAATCTTGCCTTGAATCTTCCCAAGCTCACTCTCTCCTCTCCTAGCAGAAGCTTCGCCCTTTTMTACATCACACCAAAACCAGCAACCACATGAAGAGTCATTCCTCTGCCACAGCAGACAATGCACCCAGAATCCATGCTGAATTCACATCCAACACCCARGTCTGCTGGCAGGATGGCACAAGCYCCAACTCTGAGTCTGAATAATTTGAGCAAYTCTGTTTCAGAAAAGAGAGCGTGTTCAAAGAACAAAGGAATCACTCCCAGCCCCAAGCAGAAATGCTGGGTGTCCACTTGCTTTCCTCTGAACAGCTGCCACTGTGCCCAGTCCCCTCTGGCAGGAACTCTTCYCAACTCATTTGCAGAGTGCACCAAGGACTGAGCTTCCATGAGGAGCCAGGTGAGCACATGGCACAGCCCTCACCAGAGACAGATGCCACTTTCAAAGCCTGGCACTGAGGGTCAGTGCAAGAGCAGCTCCCCAAGGCCCCAGCCCAGGGTCAGGTTTGAGCAACACAAACCCCAAACCATTACAGACCCCTCTCAGGGGTACCAGGGCTGAAAAGCACCCACAAGTATCAAGTCCAACTCCTGGCCCTGCACAGGACACCCCAACAATGCCAYCCTGCACCTGAAAATATTGTTCAAATGCTCCTTGAGCTCTGGCAAGCTTGGGGCTGTTACCAGTGCCCTGGGAAGCCTGTTTCAGTCTCCGTCCACCATCTGGGTGGAAAACCTTTTCCTAATATCCAACCTAAACCACCCTGCACACAGCTCCATGCCACTCCCTCAGGTCCTGCAACTGATCACCAGAGATCACAGATTAATGCCTGCCCCTCTGTTTCCCTTGAGTATTCACAATCCAAACTTTATTGGTTTTACCYAAAGCCCTTAGTAAAAAAGAATAAAGTGATCTGACGCACATAGGTTCCATAATCTTATCTGACCCCTCTCTTACAAACCACATTTTAACAACAGCCACACAGCTCTCTGTCCCAAGGCACAATTAACTAAATTACAGCGGGGCAAGACTGACCACCACTRCTTCCAGAGACTGGTGTGGAAAGTCGTGAGAACGACCTTCCCCTCCACCCAGAAAGGCCCAGAACAGAGTCCCTGCGCAGCCGGGGGTGGGAGCGAGTACAAATAGGCCTTTCCATACCCCTCCGCATCCCCCCACTTCTCCGGGCAGGGCGGAGAAGAGGCAAAACCGAGTATTTTAGGTAAATAACACCTACACGGCCCGAACGTACGAGCTGGCAGAGCTGGGGGAGGGGACGGCTCCTGTTYCGCGGGGCCCTGCCCTTCCTGCGCGGCCGAGGACGGCCCCGGACCAGGCTGGGGGCAGCGGGGCGGCCCCTCCACAGCCCCTGCCCGCTCCCCCCGGGGACTCGGAGCCCCTCCGTGGGCAGCAGGCGGCGGGYCCTGCCCTTCCCGCCGCACCGGGCCCGCCCGCTCTGCCCGTTCCCCCTCAGCGCCGCCGCGGCCCCGCTCTTCTGAGGGGCGGCCGCGGCCCCCCGGCCCACACCGCGCGCGCGGCGGGGGGGCGGAAGGGCACAGGAGGCGCAGCGGCGCCTCCCCCCCGCCGCCCTCTCCGCTCGCCRCTGCCGTGGGGCCCCGCGTGGGCGCCAGAGCCGCCGGTACCTGGCGCGGCCGTCGCCGCCGCCGCCGCCGCCGCACACAGACAATATGGCGGAGGCACAAGGCTCGGCCGCCGCCGCAGGGACCAGAGCGAGGCGCGCCGGAAACGGAAACCGCGCGGGCCCCGCCACGCGCCGCGGGGGCGTGCGCAGGGGAAGGTGGAGCGCGTCGCGGGGAGTTATGGGAGTTGTAGTCCAGGATGGTGGCGGCGGTGTGGGGAGGACGCGGGATTTTTCCCGYTCCGTGTCCAGATGTGTCCCCGTGAGCCGCAGGGAGGTTGTGGGTTCCGTGYCAGCCTCCGCGGCCCCGGCAGGAGGCCCGACCGTGAGCGGCGGCCGCTTGGGCCCAGCTTCTCTATGGGGCTGTGCGCGGGGCCCGCCGCCAGGGGGCGACTGCAGCMTGCGGAGCGGCTCCGGTACCGGCGCTTTCCCCGGCCCTACCATCGGCACCGGTACCGCTCCTTCCCTCGGTCTTTCGCACGGCCTTTCTACCGGCCTTTCCACAGCCTGTCCGGCCGTCCTCCAGCCCTGCTCTGGCCTCTCCATCAGCCCTTTCCCGGCCCTTCTGCTGGCCCCGTTCCAGCCCTCCCGGTTCCCGGTGCTGCTGCAGAGCGGTGGGGTSCCGCCCGGGGTGTGGGGGCTCTGGCGCGGTTCATGCAAGGGGCTCATCCCTGTGCTGAACCGGCAGCCGGTCCAGCAACCAGGCCAAATCCTCACCTACTCCGGTGCCCCATGACCTTCGCTCCCTGCTTTTCACCTTTTTAGCCCTATTTCTTGCCGTGCAGCCCGGGACATCCCTTTTCTCCCCAAGGACTAGCCAAAGCAGAAGGTCCATCGACCCATCTGGCCAGGCTGAGCTGGAGGAGACCCCGAAGAGGAAGGAAAGGCATCCAAGTTCAGGCTGAGCCTAAGCAGGATRTTGGGCTCATGGCACTTTCTGAGCAAGGCTAGCTGGGGTCATGCAGCTCTGGACCCATCACTGTCCTCCCACCACGTCCAGGTTTGAGCTGTGAGCCAACCTGGAGGGGAGGGGGTTGTGCTGAGCTATGTCTGCACCCCTTTGACCTCCCCCCAGATCTCCCCATGTCCTTCAGCAGGGAGCCAGCCTGGCTCTCTCCACCCCACCCTCCTGAAAAGCTGAGCAGGGCCAGGTTTCACCCCACTTCCCTCCCGGTGTGGGAGTCTCCCCCAGGGGAGCCCGCTGGCCCAAACCTCGCAGCCCCTCACCCCRGGTCACTCCCATTAGGTAAAGGAGCAGCTCGTCCTGGCGGGGGTATCTCCCTCTCGCGCTTTCCTTGTATTGTACAGSCCTGGGTCATCGAGGAAATCTTACAGGTCCTTCTGCTGCCGAGTGGTCACGGGGGAAGCCCGGCCCCCTTCCCCCCATTGTCAGCAGCCGGGCCGTATCCTCGCTCCAAGCCCCGGCCCCTAAAAATAGCTCTTTGTCAGGCGATTGTTCCGACACCTTCGCGGCGGCATTGACGTGGGCCAGAGCGGGAGAGCGGTGGGGTAGGTGGGGGGAAGGGCTGGAGGTCCCCCATGGGACCACTCGGAGGATTTGCCGCTGATAACGGCCCCTGTTKTGGGGAAATGGGCTCCTGGAGCGCGGCACGGTGCCAAAGGCCTTCCCGTGCTGCTGCTGCCCGCTGATCACCTCTCCCCCACCTGCCCCAGCCCTCCTGACAGCCCTGCACCACACCCCACYCTGGGGTCACCAAATGGGAGAAGTGGCTTCCCACGGCACAAGGTGGGATGGAGTCCTTCCAAGACCCCAGTTCAGACCCTGCAGGGTAGCCCTGGTCCAGCCCTGCCCCCCAAAACTGTCTCCCTGGGGTGCCCCTGCCCTCTTCACCCCACTGGGACCAGGGCAGGCARGGGCAGCCCTGAGGGGAGTGGGGCTGCGGTGTGTGGGAAGGCCATATTTCAGAGGGGTTAAGGCTCTCCCTGCAATATTGTCCCTGCCCTGAGCATCTTCAGGGGTCCCCTGCAGTGAGACCTTTCCCCATCCCCACTCAGAGCCCYATCTCCAGCCACGGTGCCTGTTTGATTGAGTGTGGGCCCTGCCGTGGGATSCTGGGGAGCTGGCACCACTGCAGGGCTCACGCTAGGAAAGGGGCTGTGCAGGGGAGCAACCCTGGGACAGCCCCCTCCTTTGTCACCCCCTGCCGCCTCCTGCCAGCGGAAGGTGATGGCCCCCTGGGGCCCACTCCTGCCCAGCCACCCCAGCTGCAGAAACAGGATTTTATTTCCCATGAAGAGCTCTGGATTAAAATAACCTCCTGGCCCAGATCCCTTTTCTGTTGTGGCAGGAGATGTTTGCCCGCAGCAATGCTGGGTATCTGAGCCTTGACCCTCCAGGCTGCTGTCCCCATGGTGGGGACATGCCCATCCTCTGCCTGTCCCTCAGAGATGTGTCCCTGTCCCAGCCTCAGTGACTCAGAGCCACTGGCCCTGCTGAGCTGCTGTCCCCAGGCTGGGCTGAGCCCCCAGAGCCGCTGGCCGTGGGGCAGGGCACGGGGCCAGCCCTGCTCTGATTACCCCCAGCGCTTTTTCCTTTTTCTTCCTTAATTTACTGAGTGCTAAATCCAAATATTACAACTTCCCCTCCGTGCCGCTGGTTACGCAGGCGGCCCCGGCCGGGCATTGTCTTATTGTTTGCAGAGGGAAGCTCCAGCAGGAGATTAACCTGGTGTTCACCCCGCGCCACAGCCTCACACCCTGTCCCTGCTGCGGGGCCCGTGTCCCCAGGGACCACAGCCGGCACGAGGTCCCAGCAGGGAGAACGTTTCAGAGGGGTCTGGTGCGTGGAGGGGACATGGCAGGGTGCTGGCAGCTCTGCAGSAGCGTCCACTGCACCCCTGGGATRTGTGGGACCTTGGGACATTCTTGCTGTGAATCCCCTGTGATGGTGAGGATCTGGCAGGTGTCTTGAAGGTCTCAGATAGACCCTTGGCCCAGTTTCTTTCCCAGGGACACTGGCAGGATGCTGGAGGGTCAGTACAGTCTGGGTCTGCTGGCATGGGGAGGCAGGGACTGCCCAGCAGCCCAAGCTGGAGGACTTGCTGCTCCTTGGTCTGCTCACCCCCTCCCATCCTATCCTCATCTATCTCATCCTATCCTACTCTATCCCATCCTATTCTCCCCCCTACTCCCATCCCTCCTTGATCCTTCTCTCCACCCTGCCCTGGGTGTCACCCTGTCCCCACTCCCTGCTCTCTAGATCTTGGGGGCTGACAGGGCTGGGAGTGAGGGAGTGACCTGTGACACTCAGTGGATGGCTGTCACTGTCACAGGGAGGATTCTCCAGGCAACAAGACACTGAGCTTTGCTCCAGGATACACTGGGGTATTTATCATGAGCCTCCACTCTTGGGGCAGCTCAGGGAGAGCCAGGCAGAAAGGACAAGGAATGAAAAGGGCTGGATCCTGGGCCCAAAATCTGCCTTTGTGTCCTCTGTCCCCGGCCGGCTCCTCTGCTCCGCTGACTCAGGCTCAGACATGGYTTGACCCTGCAGCCCCATCCTGGGGGTGGTGGGTTGGGAAAGCAGCACTGCCCATGGACCACAGGCTCTGCCTGACCCCTGTGCCCTCTGTCCTCCCACACCCCATGGCCAAACAGACCCTCCTGGGTCCATGCTAGGGCATGGGTCCCATTCCAGCAGCCCTGGTGCACAGCAGTACCAAGGACTATCAGGTCCTGGCCCCTGTCACTAGGGGTGAGCCCTGGCCTGMCCCCTGCCCATGGCTCCAGCAGCTCCTGCCTGGCCAGACCCAGCCTCATCTGTCCCACCAGCAAGGCAGCTCTCAGCACCCGCGGGTGCAGCCCTGCTGCATTCCAGCCTGGCTGCCCAGCCTGCAGGGAGGCTGAAATATTTGGGAGGGGAATGGAGAAGGGAAAGGGGAAAAAAAATAATAAAATAAAAATCTATAAAAAGAAAGTTTAAAAACACAAGTTAAAGAAAAAAAAATACCAGGCGCGGAGTGCAGCTGCGGTTCTGGTTCCAGTTCCCAGGTGATGTCAGGCCTGGAGCCTCTCCAGCCCTGGCCCCTCAGAGACGGTCTTTGTGGGTTCAGCACTGAGTGTTTTTCCTTCCTGAGACTCGGGGACACCTTCCTGTCTCAGAGAAAGCGGCCAACAGCCTTTCCAAGGGTGTCCGCACGCAGGAAGGGGAGAGGATGGGAGGGGAGCGTGGCTGGGCTCAGTGTGGGGCTGYGGCTGCCGGGGAGCTGGCGGCGGCCGTGGGCGATCAGTGGCCACAGCACTCACCCCACACGGGGCAAAGGGGCACCCGGCTCCCACCAGACGGCAGCTCTGAGTCACTATTTCCCTCTCACGGTGCTGGGAGGGGCTGGAATGTGCTGGGACCCACAGGCTTGTCACTGGGACGTGCTGAAACCCGTGGCCCCAGTGCTGGGACATGTTGGGATCCATAGCTCCAGGACTGGGATGTGCTGGAATCCACAACTCCGGTATTAATGTTATTGGGTGCCCAGCTTCTGCACTAGGACATGCTGGAACCCAGGGCTGTTACAGAGGAACTTGCATTGGGGTCGTTGTGCCATCCTTGRCACTGGGCTGTGCTGAGATCCATGGCCCTAGCACTGGGACATGCTGGATCCCACAGCCTCAGCACTGGGATATTCTGGGATGCATGGCCTTTATACTGGAGCCTGCTAGGGCCCTGTCTCTGGCACTGGGACATACTGGATGCACAGCTCCTGGGCTGGGCCTCACCGGGGCTCATGATCTTCGTATTGGAGCTTGTTCAGGCTCCAGTTGCTGGCACTGGAACATACTGGGATCTGTACACTCAGTGCTGGGACCTGCTGTGCCCCCAGCACTGGGACCACCAGCCCTTGCTGGCCCCCTGGGGGGCTCCGGAGTTGCCATTTCACGAGGATGTCCCCTTTCATGTGTGGGATGTGCTGTTTGCATAACACAGCATCCCCCATGGCCCCTGCCCCCCGATAAACCCGAGGGCAGGGATTCTGTGTCCCGGGCTGTTTGGAGAATCTCACGGCTGTTTATTGGGGTCTGGGACACATTAGCCACGCTGAGAACAAACCTCTCCCACCCACCCCGGTCCCTGCTTGGGACCAGCTCTCACAGCTGCACCACGCTGTCAGCTCCATAAATCAAACCCGGGGGAGGGAGCCYGGGGCAGGCTCACCTCGGTGAGCAGGGGGCTGAGAGGTGCCGTGGGCTCCCAGTGGAGCCCCTGCCCGGGGCAGGATCCAGCAGGACCCCCAAACATGCTCCCCCTGCTCYGTGCTGGCTCCAGGACCCCAGGGAGATAGGGCAGCTCCAGTTCATCAGCCCTTGTGGGGAGCCCCCAGCAGCCCCATCCACAGCTGCCTCTGCTCCGTGGGACACACTGGCCCCTGGGAGCCGCCAGCCCCGGCACGGCACCATTCCCAGGCTCAGCTCTCAGCGCCGGCTGGCCAGTCCAGCCCCCTCAAGCAGAATCCCATGTGGGGGTCTGGCCTGGGAACCCCCCATGTCCTCACCTGACCCYGTGCAGGTGCTGCTGCCTGCAGCCCCTCCATGCATGGCTCTGCGTGGCCATCATGGTGGCAGTGACAGTCACAATGGGGACACCCACTGTGGTGGTGGCAATGGTGGCAGTCATGGTGGCAGTGACACTGTGCCACTCATGATGTACCAGGTGGAGGGGAAGGCACGAAAGCAGTTACACCAATCCCCACTCCACTGGTTGTCCATGGCTGCAGCACAGGGCTGGCAGTGCCATCCCCATCACATGGCATGGCACTGATCCCCTTGGGACTTCTGCAGCCTTTGCAGGGCCAAAGATGTCATCAGGGCCTGGGGACACGGGAACAGCTCACCCAGGGGTCTCACCCCACATGAATCCCACTGTGGCACAGGAGAGCTGGGATGGTTACACTGGTTCCAGTGGCACAGAGCAGCCGTGCAGGGCTGGGGGTCCAGGGCCATCTTGGGGACCCCCACCTCACCCCACACTGGGGTGAGAGGCAGGCACCGGCCCATCAGAAAAATAAGGTTTTATTTTCCAAGCAGCTGCACGTGCACAGCCAGCGTCCCCAGGGCCGCGACAMCGTCCCCTCGGAGCGCCTCGACGCTGGCCGCACATGGGCCCCTTCCAGTCCRGCCCTGGGGCGCGGGGACCCCCCCTCCCCGGTCCTGCCCCGCRTGGGCAGCCTCGGCCACAGGAACGTCCTTTCGCCCCACTGCCGGCTCCAGGGCCAGTGTCGGTGTGGTGCCAGCCTGGGATCGGCCGCTGCCACCTCGGGTGAGCAGCTCCCTCCCTCCCCGCTGCGGTCTCTGGGCTGGCGTGTGCAGGCTCCCTCTGGCTCTGCCGCTGTCTCAGGTGGGTGCTGCCRGACCCYGGCTCATCTCCGCGACACTCGCAGSGGGGTGACCCCACGCACCTTCAGGCAGTTGCCCCCGAGGTCCCTCCGACTGCCCTGTAGAGAGAAGAGAGAGAATTGGAGATACCATGGGGTGTCTGGGTGGGGGCACCCTGCTCCTGCCAACTGTCCACCACACTGACTCATCCTGAGATGGCCAGTGCCTCAGTCCGGGGGCAGATCAGTGCTGCCTGGAGTGGACAGACAGACGGGGCCATGCCTGACGAGTGGTTGTGTGGGTGGCTGGGAGGTGGATGCTGTGGTGGAGCCCTCCAAGGTGGGTCTCTCTTGATCTTGTCACCTGGCAGGCACAGCCCCCGTGGCTGCTCAGCGCCGCTGGGCTCAGACTTGTGGCCAGGGCCAGTAGCACCCCAGGACAGACCCACAGCCCCAGASAGATCCACAGCTCTGGAGAGACACACACAATCCAAAATGGGATGGGGAGACTCAGCCTCACCTTCCAGTTTATGAACACAACATCAGCCCAGAACTGCCCACTATAACCCAGCACAGAAGAGCATGGTCCAGATCTAGCACAGAATGTTCCAGTATAACCCAGCATGGCTCRGCAGAGCCCAACACAGCCCAGTTTCAGCCCAGCCTATTTCCAGCCTTGCACAGCCCAGCACGTCCCAGTWCAACCCATTTCCAGCCCTGCCCATTTCCAGCCCAGTACAGGCCCTTTCCAGCCCAGCCTCAGAGCTGGGATGCACARAGTTGGATCCCAACTCAGCTCCCACCATCACCCTCCAGCAGGAGCTTCCCAGCCCCAGTGCCTCCACAGGGGCCCCTGAGGGATCCAGCAGTGTGCCAGACCCCCAGCTCCCTGCCTGGGAAACAGTCCAGGGACACAAYCCAGCCCCAGCCAGAGGATCCCAGCTGGGATCTGCCAGGGACCAGGTCTGGAGGACCCCAGGAGAGCTGAAGGGCTGCTAAGGGGGCAGCAGGAGCAGGGCAGAGATTAGATATGGAGCAGCAAAACCCAAAATAGCCCTGAGGGCTGGAGTGTGACCCTTGGCTGCACTGCTTGRGGTCATACGTAGGACAGTGTGAGGGTCTGTGGGTATGGGGACAGGTACAGCAGCCCCTGCTCACAGCTCTGCCAAGGGATGTCCGAGAAGGCCGGGTGGCTTCCAGCCTCTCACCCTGCACCCCAAATCCTGCACAGCTGTTCYTGGGTCAAGGGCACCCAGGACCCCAGCATGGGCAACACGGTGGGCTCACCACAGGAAAGGTGTCCATGAGCTGCAGGGTGCTGGGGGTGATCAGCTGGGTTGGAAGGGCAGGGGTGCTCTGCCATGGCCCAGCTCGGCCGAGTGAAGCTGTGCCAGTGCTGCCAGCACACCCTGCCTGGGAACGCTGGATGGGAGCTCTGTCTGGCCTCCCTCAGGGGGTGTCTGCTGGGCTCTGCCTGTCCTCTTGACATCAGGGAGCTGCTGGGGGAGCCCAGCTGCAGTGCCGATRGGCTGGCAGGGTTGGGGATGGAGATGGGGATGGGAAAGGGGTCAGCCAGGGAGCTCTAAGCTTCCCCTGGGACACCCAATGCCTCCATCTCCGGGGTGACTGTTTAACCCCTGAGACCTCCCAGCCCGGATGGACGTGGGGGAGCAGCCCAGCCCTGTGACGTGAGCAGGAGCTGTAGGCGTGTGGCTACAAGCAGGATTTGGCCAGGAGCAGCCAAAACCTCCAGTGGGAGCTGGAGCCAGAGGCTGTGGTTCTCACTGAGCCATGGTTCTCACTTCTGCCCGGCTCAACCTAGGCAGGATCCGCTGCCACCCATCCCCCGGGGCCACGCTGAGCCTCCTGCCCCACTCAGGCCAGGGACCCCCATCCCAAAACCCTGCTCACCCCTTTCCGCTGGTTGCTGAGGCAGAAGGTGCAGATGCTGCGGGGCTGTTTGCTGTCCAGGTCGCCCTTGGCGCCATAGATGGCACTGAAACAGGGCTGCCCATCCTCGCAGCCCTCGCCCAGCAGCAGCACGTTGGCCAGGTGGGAGATGTAGCTGGAGGCCAGGCGGAGGGTCTCGATCTTGGACAGCTTCCGATCCACCGGCTCGGTGGGGATGAGGGTCCGCAGGGCGGTGAAGGCCGTGTTGACGCTCTGGGTCCGGTCCCGCTCCCGTGCGTTGGCCGCCTGCCTCTGCTTCACCATCACCATGGGCCCCGGCTTCCGCGGCAGCTTGCGGCGAGCCTCGGCGCCCTCGCAGCAGCCGAACGACTGGTCCGACGTGTCGCTCTCGCTGCGGTTCTCCTCATCCTCCGAGAGCATGCTGAGGTCGGGGTAGAGCACGCGGGCGGCCACGGGGCGCAGCATGGTGAAAGCCATGGCGGGGTGCCCGCCTGCACCCCCGGCCCTGCTGGGGGGAGCCCCCGGGCTGCGGGGAGGCTTCCCCCGCCGGCACAGCTGCGACGGCGGCTCCGGACGCCTTCCCGCGGCTGCTCCGCTGCGGCTGAGCAGGGCTGGGACGACTGTCTGCAGGGGGAATCGGGATTTATACGGCCGGGGAGGGGCTGGCTCTGGAGCCCACCCCCAGCCGGCCCCCGAGCTCCGGCCAGCGGCAAGCGGCCAGCGGCCAGCGTCCTCACCCCAGCCCTGAGAGCCAGTGCTGGCTCTGGTCACTGGCCGGGCCCCACTCCGGCACGCTGGCCTGGCTGAGGGCACCTTGACCCCAGGTCGTGCCCATGGTGGCATTGAACTGTGGCGGTGCCGAGGCACTGTCTGGCAAGTGCTCCCTGTGCCATGGCCTCTGGCACCTGCAGAGCGATGTCACACACAGAGTCAGCCTACAGGCAGTTTGTCCCCAGCCCCTGCCTGGCTGTCACTTGCCAACCCTGGGTCCTGCACAGGGTGTCGGGGCAAAAACAGGGTGCAGGAGCTGGGATGGGCAAAGAAACTGGAGTGGGTGGCACCGGTCCTGTGCCCGGGTGTTTATCAGAGGGATGCCATTAGGGACACGCTGCTGCCCACACCCTGCCATGCCCACTGGAACAGGGTCTATGCCCAGGAGGATGCCCGGGGCAGGCAGGGATGCACTCCTTACTGCTCTGTTCCAGGGCCTGGCACCCTGCCTGCACCATGGGAGGGGACAGGGGGACACGGAGAGGCAGGGGCAGCACTGCCGGCAGCCCTGCCAGGAGCATTTCCTCCCGCCCAGGAGGAAGGTGTGTGCCGGCAGTGGAAACACGGAGTCTTTTCCTGAGAGGGGAGAGATGAGCTGGCAGCAGCAGGAATCACCGGTGTCCTGGGAAGGGCTCGGGTGCCCCCCAGCCTGATGGTTGCTCCTAGTCATTCTTTGGCACTGAATACCACAGACCATGCTCCTCCTCACCAGGGAGGTGTGTGTGGGTCCCACTCTGCCTTCARTCCTCCAGCCCTGAGCCAATGTTCCCAGGAGCATGCAGGGGGCAGCCAGCTGAACGAAGCAGGCAGGGGGGCTTCCTGCCTGCCTTCCTCTCCTTCCTCCTCCTCCACTATGCTCTGGGCATGATGCAGGTTAAGCAGCTAAAACATGTGGAGAGCAYGACCCAGCTCCTGGCGGATGGCTCCAGGGCCGCTGGGGGACTCGGCAGTGCCAGCTGCAGTCCCCACTGTCCAGCAGCTCCACAGCCAGAGAGGGATGCTGGGGGGAATCTTGGAGGCTTGCCAGGGCTGGGACAGTGGCCATGGAATGCAGCTGGCATATCACAAACACCCCAGTGGGGTGGTCAGTGGGGTGCTCTGGGGACTGTGGGATGGGGTGGCATCRTGTTCCTCAATGCCCCAGGGCCAAAAGGTTACGTTTGCAGGACTGGAGCTCATACTATTTCTGTTGGGGTCTGGGTTACCCCAGAGGCTCTCTTAGTGCTCCCAGGGCTTGTGGCTGCTGGACCATGACAGGGGCAGCTGTGCTGCCTGGCACCAGCACCACTTCACTGCCTCCCATCCTGCTGGCTGTGAGCAAACGGCCCCTCTGCCCCCYGCGGGGCACAGGCAGCCCCCAGCCGGCGGGACCCCCCTGCCCTGTTTTCCTTCACCATTTGTCTGCCTGTGCAGAGCCTGTAAATCACGCAGTGGGAGGCAGAGAGATGGGCTGGGGGCCAGGGGTCCTGCTGGGGCTGGGGACATGTATGGCTATACCATGGGCTGGGAGTCCCACTGGGGCAGGGACATACAGGGCCGAGCAAGAGGACAGGGATCCTGCTGGGGCTGAGGGTGGGCAGGGGTCCACTGTGTCCATACTGACACCTCTCACTATGCATCAGTCCTCATGAGGGACCCTGACTTTCTTCTGTAGCCCCTGTCCAGGTGCAGACCCCCACAAAAGGGTACTGCAGGCAGTGCCAGAGGCAAAGCTGAGGATGGGCAGGCCCTTGGCATGACAGGCAGGGAGCAGGCAGGGAGCAGGCAGGTGCCTGCACAGAGAAGGGAACCCCCACTCTGACCCCCTCTCTCCCCTGAGTCCCACTGGGCCATGGCTGGGGGTCCACAGCAGCCCCTGGCCCTGACAGCAGCAAGACGGATGGCAGGGGCTGTGTACTCAGCTGCACACCCCACACATGGCCACCAGCTGACCGGGACAGGCTGGGGGGGGTCACACAGTCCCCAAGCCCAGCCGAGCTGCCCCAGGGCTTTTTTGGGGGACACGGCCACATGTGGGGTGCTGCTGGCCTGTGGGGTCTGGAACATGGAGTGGCACAGGCAGGGAAGGAGCAGCAGACAGGAGATGGCTTCATGTGGGGTGGGGACAGCACATGTGTGTGCACATGTGAGTGCATGGATGTGCAGCTGCACACATCTGTGCATCCAAGCACGTACAGATGTGTGTATCCACATGTGTGTGCACAGGGATATGTGTGAGTATGAGGGGGTGTGAATGTGTTTGTGCAGTTGCCCGTGGATGTGGTTGCGTGCATGTGGGTGTGTGGGTAGGGTGCCATGTAGACCCTGAGTGCCACAACCTCCTGCTGCAGTGACAACCCCGCGTTGGCACACGTGTGAGCATCACCTCACCAGATGCTGCACATGGAAGGATGGACAGACAGGAACAGTCATTCATGGGAATCAGGGAGCACTGCAGGCTCCCTGCCTGTCCAGCTGCCTGCGGATGCTGTGGCTGCAGGGCAGGAGGATGCACGGCAGCAGCTGGGTTTTCCTGTGCTGCCTGGCAGGTGTGTGGTACAGGACGTGAGCCCTTGTGCCTAGGCCCCCATAGCCCCCACAACACGGTGGCCTTGGCTCTGACTCTGCTGGGAAACACAAGGCCATGGCATCACAAACCTCCCACTGGCCTGAGCGGGTGCCAGGACATGGTGGGGCTCGGCATCACAGCTCCCCTGGCTGATCCAGCCAAACTAACTGACCCTCGGGAGGAGGCCAGTGCCAGGCAGTGGGTCAGRCATGCACAGGACCCTGCATGGGACAGAACAGCATAGAGCATRATGGCCTGAGCATGGGGTTGCAGCTCTGACCCCAGCCCAACCAGGTACTCCCTGATTGGGGGGTATAATGGGGTTGGGGTGCTGGGCACCCAAAGGGTCGGGTCCTGCCTCTGCTGCCAGGGAAATGCCCCCTGCCCCCCACACCAGGGAGTGTTTRTCTTYGAGGTGATACTTAAGTGTAAGAAAATAAACAGGGAGCAGATGGGCCAGGGGCCAGGGCTGCCCCCAGCCCTGCGGGATCGCTCCAGCCCTGCTGGGAAAACACCACGGCTGGCGAGGCAAATGGATTCCAGACCTGCGGCAATGCTGGAACATGTGGCCACCAGGACACTGGGCCTGACCCTATCGAGCCCTGGACTGATCCATTCAACTCCGCCCCATCCCATCCCATCCCATCCCATCCCATCCCATCCCATCCCATCCCATCCCATCCCATCCCATCCCATCCCATCCCATCCCATCCCATCCCATCCCATCCCATCCCTCTGAGTGCCCTAATTCCACAGCCCCTGACCAGACCTTGGCATTGGGGATATCCAGGACTGGCCCCTCTGCCTGTGGCTCCCCAGTTTCAGGGTGCTCAGGCCAGTGAGCCCACAGATCAGGGAGCTGCCCCAAAAGCACTGTCCTGTCCAGCTGGGTACACACAGCCTCCGAGTCCAGCTGCCTCCTGCCCCGTGCAGAGTTCATCAGGGCTGGAATCTCATGCCAGGAGAGTCTATCCCTGGTCCCCAACACTGGGAGACTGAGGCTGGCAAACCTGGGAGCCCCTGGAGCCCTCCTTGGTGAGGAGGAGCAGTGAGTATGGGGGACTGGGCATTGTGAAATCTTTGGGGGAGCAGGAGTTTCCCCATTTTTCAGCATCAGGGCTGTTTCAGGATGATCTGGTGGGTCCCCAGGCAGTGTGGGAAGCACCAGACCCGCTCCACCCCCCGGGCTGTACCTGCAGGCTGAGGCTGCTGGTCTGGAAAGCATTACACGCCTGTCGTGCGGGGAAGTCTGTCCCAGTTCCGGAGCTGGGACCCCCCCCCCCACCCGGCCGGGGCTGGGGGGAGCCCACAAAGCGCCTTTGTTCCTGCCCTGGAACGAATGGATTGGAGGCAGCCGGATCGGCTGTCAGCCGGCGACACCAGAGACCCCGTGGGTCAGGCAGAGGGAAGGGGGACAGGTGGAGGACGAATGCATGGGGGCAATGCAGGGCTCTGGAGAGACCCACTCCTGTGCCAGCCAGGGGGTTGTGGCACCACAGCCCCGACTGGGGATCAGCTCCCACTGCCCACACCATGCCAGCCCAATGGATGCACCAGTCAGCCCTGGAGATGCTCACCCAGCACCCTGGACACAGCGCCGGGTCCTGGCTCCCAGCTGGTGTCAGGGAGCCCAGGAGTGGACCCCTGGCACWGTTTGCAGGGGATGGTAAGCTGGAAAATCAGATCCTGGCTTTCCAGGCGGAGGAAGCAGGCTGGGGAAAGGAGTTGCAGGATCTGGGCAGCCTCAGTTCGTTCCCACTTTGCAGAGTCCCAGCTCTGCTGAGCTGCCTGTTACCCAAGGAATGAGGGGCACAAGCCCAGGCGAGCAGGGCAAACAGAGTCCATGTGAGGCGTGCAGCACTGGGGGCACACAGGATATGGGCAAGCAGCAGCCCCTGCCATGAAACACCCGTTTGGGGGCACTCTGGAGATGTCCCCACTGCCACAGGAGCTGCCGCAGGAGCTGCTACCTCCTCCCTCCACCCCCCGCTCTCTAACAAGAGGAAACTTTTTAGCACGCCACAATTCTTAGGAGAAATTTATGGCCCATCAGGGAGCCTCGGGCCAGGGCTGCTCTCCGTGAGCGCTTGCAGGGCTTCCTCCCGGCACACAGCTGCTTTGATGCGGCACATGCAGCTCTGCCGCGCCAGAGTCCCCCTCCGGTCCCTTCCCTCATCCAGCACCCCCAGCCCACCCTGCTCTTCCTCCCCAGTGGATCCTGCGGAAACGCGGGGGCAGCAGTAAATTGTGCCCTGTCCGATGCCAGCACTGCCAGCTCCTGCCGTGCACACGAACCGGCCGTGCCCTCCTCTCCCAGTTTCTGCCCTGGAGGGGCAGGATCCGTCGGGGGAGGAGCATGGCTGAGGGGGCAGAAATGTCCGGCTGCGGTTCCTGTCCCAGTCCTGCTGCTGACTCACGGCGTGGTGAGTGAGTCAGTGGCCTTTCCCCTCCCTGGATGGAGGCTCTTGTCTTAAGAGGGATGCTGGGATGCCCAGGGGATGCTCGAGGCGTTTTTTTCCGGGCTGTACGTGGGGTTTCTTGCAGAAATGACAGCATCCCAGCATGACAGRACTTGCATGTGCAACCACAGCTGGGCCAGAGCTGACCCTGAATTCAGCTGCATGGCAGGGTGGGCTGGCAGAGCATTGTCCCAGCACAGCATCCATTCCCTTGCAGCACATCCATCCCTTTGCAAAGCATCTGTCCCTGTCCCGTGTGCCCGCAGCCACTGCTCTTGCTGGTGCCAGGCCACCATGCCGTGCCGTGCTGTGCCATGCTGGCCTGCTGCATCCCTGCTCCCAACATCAGCACCCCTCAGCATCAGGCCAGGGAGCTGCAGGGGTTTYGATCACCTTTATTCCAGGTGCTGCAGCAGGTGTCCCCACCACAGGATTTTGGAGTTGTCCCCYGCAGAGATGGGGACCACGGGATGAGTCCAGTGATGGGGCAGAAGTTTTTGGGGCAGGCGCAGTCCAGGGTCCCCTCCTATCGGGGTACAGGGTGAGCCCAGAGTGCTGAGGAAGGGCTGGGGACCRGCCATGCCGGCTCGGCCGTGCCACCTCCCGGTATGGCTGTGTCCTGATTCTGCTGTGTCCCGGTTCGTCCGTGTCCCTTCCCGGTTCAGCCGTGTCCCGAATGGGCTGTGACTCGTCCCAGTTCCAGTGTGCTCCGRTTCAGCCGTTCCCGCTTGAGCCGTGCCCCGGTTCAGCCCGTTCCATCTCGGTTCAGCTATTCCCGGTTGAGCCGTGCCCCGGTTCATCCCACCCCAACCGGTTCCTCCCGTCCCGGTTCCTCCTGTCCCGGTTCATCCCGTCCAGGTTCATCCCATCCCAACCGGTTCCTCCCGTCCCGATTCATCCCGTCCCGGTTCATTCCGTCCCGGTTCCTCCCGTCCCGGTTCCTCCTGTCCCGGTTCCTCCCGTCCCGTCCCGGTCCCCGCGGTCGCTCCGGGCGGCGCAGCGCGGCACAATAGCGCCACCTGCCGGCCCCGCCGAGCGCCTCCCGGTACCGGCGAGACCCGTCCCGGCTGCGGGGATCCCGGGACCCTCCAAATCTGGGGATCCCTGACTTCATCCCAGCTGAAGGGACCGCGGGGACTCCCCAAGGCTGCATGGTGACCGACCACATCCTCACCGGGGGCTCACGGGTCAGAACCAACCGGGACAGAGGGGGCTGCGGGACATCCTCGGGGTGCTGGGCTAACGCAGTTGGGGCGTGGAGGAGCCCAGGTAGGTGCGGAGGTCGCTGAGGGTGGAGGGGATGATCTTGGCGGGTATGGTCTCCCGGTGGAGTGCCTGGTGGGCAGCGAAGCGGTGGCAGCCTCCAAACGAGTAGAAGTAATCGCCGCCCTCACTGCCTTTGATCCAGAGCACATCGATGGGGGGCACCCGCTCGGGATCCTCCTGGAAGGGGGAGACACATCCAAGAGCAACGCACCCCGGCACTCCCAACCTGCCCTGACACCCCCCGACCTGACTGTGCCGGGGCTCGGGTGCTGCCAGCTTCCCCAGTGCCCTCTGTGTGGGCTCAGGAGGGGCTGCCTCTGCGTCCCGGGGGGCTGTGCTCACCTGCAGGGTCTCCATCAGGCTCTGCACCTTCCCCGGCTCCAGCTGAGCCGGGATGGGGCGGATGAGGACACGCATGGGCACGTTGTGCACGGCCGAGATGTGCTGTGTGTGGATGCTCCTGTCCTCGGTCTCAGCCATGGCTGCGGCTGCCGGCCGGCCTTGGCCTTCCCCTGTCCCGCTCAGCCAAGCTCTCCGCTCTGCCCGGAGTAGTGTAGTGCCCAGCCGGGCCCCTCTGCTTCCTCCCGGCCCAGCCATCGTCATCGTCACCGCCGCGCCCCACCGTTTTGCAGAGTCACAGTGAAGGGGCAGGACACATTTCCGGGCCGGGTGCCAGAGCTGGCTGGCCCGCTGCCCGCTCCSGAGAGCCTGCGGTCAGGGCTGCCCTCGGCTCCTCCTTCCCGTGGGACACTCACGGGCACACGGCAGCTCAGACCCCACCATGTGTGCTGGGGGTCCCCATTCTGGCCCCGGGGGTCTTTGCTCCCACCTGGCCCTGCTGGGGCACTRAGGATCATCCTGCAACCGAGAGTTGGGATATGCCCCCACCTGCCTGGCTGTACCAGGAACATGTCCCCAGCCCAGAGCCCCCTCCCTGCTGCGCTGACACTCCGTGGGGTTCAYGGCAAGGAAGAGGAGGCATGAAGCAGTTCCAGAGCTAAGGCAGTGATGCCAGGATGCTCCACAGCTGGGCAAGCACTGAGGAACTCCAGCCCTGAATCTTTCTAGGTCATTTCTTCAGACCAGTGTCCCAAAMGGGGAGAGGCTCCTGGGAAGAACTAGGTCTCCCACCCCACTGGGTGCTGCAACCAGGGCACCCTGGATCTGCAGCAGGGACATGATGTCRGCAGTTGGCTGACCCCAGTGCCCTCACCCTGGTGCCATGGAAACTCCCCAGCCCCAGAGCTGACTCTGACACCATCATGCTGATGATGGTCAGGGAAGGGCTTGTGAGGCTCTAGAAGTAGATTTTTGCAAGGTCAGTCTGGCAATGACTTTGCTGGTGAAAGATTGCACTGATGTCACTGGGAGCCYAGGGCTCAGCCAGATCTTTGTTGACGAGCTGGATGCTAAAAATAATTTGCCTTCCCCACTGGCACCCACATGTGGGAAAGGATGATGAAAGAGGGGTGGGGAGCAGGAATGCCTGTCTGCCCCTGGGAGTAGGGGCTCTGCTGGCTTGTCGCCACCGGCGAGTTGGAATAAAATTTGCTCACCAAATCCTTCCCATCCAGCACAGAGGCACCCCAGGGGTGTGTGAGCATTGCCGGGGCCCTCCCCGGGCTGCCCGCCGGGCTCTGCACCCGCTACCGGGATTTCACACGCCGCTTTACTTCCAGGTCAGCGCTCAGCCGCGCTCGCAGCCCCCGGCGCTCTCACGAGCAGGGTGGCATGATAACCCCTCCTTGTCACAGCAGGGGATTGTCTGGCTGCTGCCCACTGGCTGCGGGGCTGGCAAGGACACACGGACAGTGTGGCATGCCCTGGGTGCCTCAGTCACCCGTTCCCARCAGGCTGACAGGACATCACCCCTCTATTTGGGGCTGTTCTCTCCCCTATGCTCCAGCCCAGGAGTGGGTGTGGGCACAGGGCACCGTGGGATGGTCACGCTGGCAGCTCGCGTGCCACCACCTGCCACCGCCGACACAAATCCCCCAAGACACATGGTTAGTGGCAGAAATCCCTTTTATATCCCTGAATTGCGTTACAAGTAATACTGCGGGTGGCCRGATCTCAGTAGACTTGTCATACTGGGGCTGGCGAGTACAAAACCTGGCAGAAAAAATCTATCATGCACGGAAAATTATTGCTGTAGTATCTGCTATTTACAGGAGAGAGGGGCAGCGGCGCGGTGCTCCAAGCCTGCCGGCCTCAGGACACCGAGGAACGGCGCCAGCATCGTGGGGAATACCTGGTGGGGTGCCCGCGTGGCCAGAGCGATGCTCATCCCTCTATGGGGTGCCAATGTGTGGTCACCGTGCCACAGCAGCGAGGACCACGACAGGGACATCCCCATTGAACCTGTGACCAACACAGGCACCGAGGCAGCGGGAGGAAGACTGTGCAGGGAGGAAGACGGCGCAGGAAGACGCTGTGGGGTGGGYGAGTGCGGCCCCGCGGGGTGCCGGGCTGAGTCCCGAAGTGTTGGGGGCCGGCACGGGGTGATGGGGCTGGGGCAGCTCGCGGCCCGAGGTAGGAAGCGGAGGCGTGGGTCGGACCCCGCTCCGGAATGCCATGCACGGTGCTTGCTCCGGGGCYGGTGCGGGGTGCTCCGCCGGGAGGTTGCATAGAGTGGCTGGTTTGTCCCCGCTGGGCTGGCGCGGGGCACGGAGCAAAGCAGGAGCCCGTGGCAGCAAGGAAGACAAAGAAGAAGGGCTTTGCCTTTGGGGGAGGCTTGCAGGGCATGGAGCCTGGGCTGCCGGGCCAGCTTGTGCCCTCCTGCCTCCGTGCCCACCACGCAGTCCGCTCTMGGGGTCCCGTCCCCGTCCGTGTCACCGTGGCTGTGTCCTGGGCACGGCAGCTCTGCTGCAGCTCTGCCACCTCCTGCGAGCCAGCGCTGGCATGGCCCGGTCAGTCTTGACAAATAAATAGTGAAAAGCATAAGTTATAAATAATATAAATAAGAACATTTAAATAGACTCACCCAAACTTTACAGCTACTCTGATCCCCTCCTCCTGAGTGCAGGTGGGGGGTGATGGCGAGGGAGCCGGGAGTCGGCTAGAGAAGGGGCTGGGGACACATGGGGGGGCAATTGGGGGGTCGGGTGCTGCCKGCCCCAGGGCTGGGTCTCCAGCCCAGCTGCCAGCCCAGCCGTTTGCACGGCGAGGAGGGCTGCACCTGCCTGGGGGGGCTATTCCCCAGCCTGTCACCATGGCAGGGGCCAGTTGTGCCTGGCCAAGACGGGAGCTGGGAGCCAAGGGAGGACTTGTCTTCTCTCCCTTTGCTGGGAGCCCCTCGCTCTTCCCTTGGCTCTTCCCCTAGCTCCAGGGCTACGGATCTGCAGTGCCAGGGTGAACACTGTGCCATGGGRCAGAGGGGCAGCAGGGTGTCCTGGGTGGTGGGCTGAAGGGACCCCTGGCAGCCCTGCCCTCTGTCAGCCTCAGTGGCTGTCAGTCCTGCTGAGCCAGCAAGAGCACCAGCCCGTGGTCCCATCAGGGTTAGGGTCAAGGGGAGGGTTTGCTCCTAGTGGGGAGCAGAAAAGTGTCTTTTCTCCCCCGGGATCCCCCGGGAAGAGAAGCAGCAGCTCTAAATAAATAATAGTAATAAATTAAATAAATAGAGGTGAAAGTCACAAGCTAGGGGAGGAAAGTCTCTCCTGGGTCTGGAAGAGGTCCCCAGGTGAGTCCCCCGCAGAGAGACCTGCCTGGCTGCGGGGGAACTCTGGGACCCACAGGAAAGGAGCTGRGTCCCACTGTGGGGGACCCCCTTCCCAGGGAGCAGGTGGGGAATGAGTCTATGGGGATATCCTCCAGCCTCAGCACAGCAACAAACCAGCTGGCTGCAGCTGCAGGAGTGCTGGCACAGGGACTGGGACCAGGATGGGGATGGGGGCAGAGTGGGATGTATAGGGGAATGGGGATGGGGATGGGTATGGGATGAGATGGGGACGGGGATGAGGATCGGATACAAGGATGAGGATGGGAATGGGGATGTGCCACAGGGGTCGGGGGGCTAGTTCCCTATTGCACAGCTGTGTTCGGAGCCCTTGAAGCAGGCGGACTCGTAGTGCTTGTTGAGGTACGACTTGAGGGCGAAGGTCTTCTCGCACTGCTTGCACTTGTAGTGCTTGAAGGCGGAGTGGGTCTGCATGTGGGCGCGCAGGTTGGAGCGGTCRGCGAAGGCTTTYCCGCAGTGSGMGCAGCCGAASGGCTTCTCSCCGGTGTGGGAYCGCATGTGGCCCTGCAGCAGCCAGGGCCGGCTGAAGGCTTTGCCGCACACGTCGCACTTGTGCTTGAGGTTGTGGGTGAGGACGTGCATGGCCAGGGCGGGCATGGAGACGTACGCCTTCCCGCAGGTGGGGCATTTCCTCGCCATCTTGCTGTCCAGGCTGCGGTGGGTCTGCTTGTGCCGGCTGAGGTTGGAGGAGGTGGCGTAGGTCTTGCCGCACTCGGGGCACGAGTGGCGGTGGCTGCCACGGCGCTGGCTCTCGCTGCGCCGGCGAGACCGCCCGTCCGTGATGAAGAAGGCATCCATGGAGTAGCTGTCTGTCACCGCTGCCTCCCCGTTGAAGTAGCGGGCAGAAAAGCTGGACTGGGGGCTCTCGGGATCGCTGTACTCCTCGTGGCCGGGTGCGTAGGCTGGGTCCGGCGGCGGTGGTGGYAGACCTTGCTTCTTGTCGGTGTCATAGCCGGCTGGCGCCAGGCAGTGCTGGAGGTACCCTGTGGGGACAACACAGTGGGGTCATTGTCCCTCCAGAGCAGCYTCACTAGGGACAGGGAAAAGTCACAAGCCAAAATTGCCCATAGGAGGTGCAGAACCAGGGTTGTGTCCCTTAAACTGTTCCCTGTCCCTGCTGAGCCACTGAGCACCGGAGCTACCTCGTCCTGTCCTGGCTCCTGTCAGCATCTGGCAGCAGGATGGGTCCCATCCCGCAGGGCTGCCCGGGATGGGAACTGGGGATGGAGTTGTGGAACGTCCAGCTGCGCCTGCCCCGGCTGTGGGCAGCCCCCGGGGGCCATTAGCCGYCAGACAGCTGTCGGTGCCGGGAGCTCATTGTTCACCGGGACCGCGCCGGTAATGAGCTGTGCTCTGTGGGCAGCCGGGATGAGSGCAATGAGACTGCCCCAGGTTCCCCTTCCTCAGCAAAGGGGCTGGGAAAGCCCCCCAACCCTCCGCTGTCCCTGCAGGGGTGAATTCCCTGGAGATGGARCAGCACCAGGAGGGCAGCAGCACCAGGTCCCTGGCCTCCTGCCAAGAAGAGTGACACAAAGCCCCCCAGATGCAGAGCCAGGCTTGGGTACCACTCCCCGCATGTGACATTGGTGCAAATCTGCTCATGACCCTGCTTCCTATGTGGGACTGACTCCCAGCCTGTGTCAGAGAAGGTGCCGTGTTGGCATCCCGATCCCTCTGTGCTGTCACACAAAGGTCACCACAAGAGCAGCAGCGCGGTCCCCTTTCCACCGGTCCAGCAATCCTGGGGATGTGCTGGCACCCCAAGACCCCCAAATTGCTCCCAGCAGCCCCCTGCCTTGGGCACACTGGTCCTTGCAAGCTGCTTCCGAGGCTCTATCCCCACTGATGGTGACAGAGGGGCTGTCAGGGGCCGGGGGTCAGTGCACAGCTGGGCTGATCTATGCACTCCATGGAGCAGCACAGTCACCCCACTGCAGCTGCRGATGAACGTTCCCTAAATCCACACCCTCCGGCATCATCCACAGGACCTTTTGGCAAAGCAACTGCTGCCGTTTGTCCCGTGGCAGCCAGGGGTACCTACTGTGGGGAGGGGGCTGCGTGGCAGGGGCAGAGCCGGGCCCCCCCGTCCCCCGTGCCGTGCTGACAGCGCGGGCTGTGCAGAAAGCGCTCTGCTCAGCAATTTCTCATGCTGCCTCCGAGCATGCAGCAAGGTTATTTCCAGGAGAGCAGMGTCGGCAGCTTCTGCCCAGCTGCAGCACATCCCTCCCCCACCGGGTCCTGGTTGATGAGGGGGGAGCAGAGGACCCCCAGGCCAGAGGGGCTTCGGACCCCGGCCTGGCAGGGAAAGCTCACTAAGGGCTGCGGAGCGCTAGAAAAGGGGGAGCCACAGCGATATTAGCTTGTGCGTGGCTGGATCAGGCCCATTCCCGCACCCAGCTCTGTCTCCCAGTCCACGAGCAGCCAGGACTCCCCAGCCCACGCAACAGAGCCCCCGACCCACAGCCAGCCCCTCTTTCTGGGCAAGCGCCTGGGYTGCCCCGTTGGGGGGCTGTGCCAAGCCCGGGGAACTCCGAGCACACCCCAATGTTCCCCCGCAGGACGGGATTCCAAGGACCACGGCCACCCCCAGTCCAGCTCTGTGCACCTCTACCGCTAACAGGGGTGCCCCTATTMTTCCCCCTCGCCCCCCGTGCCCCGGAGGGCTCCAGCCCCCCCCGCGCTCCCAGGGGGGCTCGGGGCACCGCTGCGAACAATGAAAGCCGCCGGCACGGCGAGCYTGCCRCCCCCCGCCGCCCCCGCAGACCSGTTGCTTTGTACCCTCCCCAACTTRTGGTGGGAAGGAGCCCACCTCGRTGCCCCATGGGCGGGGGGCACTCGGGGCTGCCCACGGGGCTGACGCTGTCACGCAGGGGATGTTTCCCCAAGGACCAACTTCGGCAGCGGCCGGTGGCCCCGGAGCGGGGGACAAAACGACAGCGAGAGATGACACACCCCACCCCGCACCCCTCACCCCTCACCCGCCGCGGGACACAACGCGGGGACCCCCGCCCCGTCCTGCCCTGCGTCCCCCCGTGTCTCCTTCCCGGAGCCCCGCCGGGCGCAGAGACAATAGCGGCGGGGGGGCCCCTCCGGACCCCCAGCCCGCACTCACCATCGCCGGCGGCGGGGCCGGGCAGCGTGTAGGGGGGCTCCAGGGGGGCGTAGGGGGGCGCGGGGGCCCCGGCGGCCGGGAACGCCTCCGCTTTCAGCTTCTTCACCAGGAAGGAGCGGGGCATGGCGGGGCCGGGCAGCGCTGGACACCTCCGGTACCGGCACCGCCACCGGCCCCGGCCCCCGCACCGGCCCCGGCCCCCCCCCCGCCCCGGCCCCGGCGCTCAGCCCCGGCGGTGCGCACGGAGAGGCGCGGGGAGGCGAGTGCGAGGGGCGGGGAGGCGGCAGGGCGGCGAGGAGGAGGAGGAGGAGGAGGAAGAGAGGAGGAGGGGAAGAGGGGGAGGAGGAGGAAGGCAGGCGGTCGGGGGGGGAGGGGGCCGCTTCGCCCGGCCGCGCCCGGAGCCCCCCCAAAGCCCCCCGAGCCGCCGGCAGCGCGGGGCGCCCCGGGCATCACGGCACTGTGGGGACCCGGGTCCCTCCCCCTGGTTCCTCCCCCCATCCCGGCCACGGACAATGGGGACACAGGGGGACGTGGGAGGGGGACACACACACACACATGCCTCTGCCTCCCACCGCCTTTGTCTCCCTGCCGCCAGTCCCCGGGGCCAAAAATGGACTGGCCTGCAGGGCGGGAGTCCTCATCCTCRTCCCTGTCCCCTAYCSCCTGTCCCCATCCCTGTCCCCGTCTCTTATCTTCTCTTGTCTCCATCCCTGTCCCTGTTTCTTGTCCCTTTCTCCTTTTCTTGTCTTTGCTCCCTGCTCCTATCCCCGTTCCCTGTTCCCTTTCCCATCCATCTTCCCTGTTCTCATCTCTGTCCCCAGTCTCTTTCCACTGACCCCTTTCTCTTTCCATTCTCCCTTCCTCTGTACTACCTTTATCTCTGTCCTCAACCCTTTTTCCTCTTCCCTGCCCTCATCCCTGTCCCACCTCTGTCTTGTCCCCATCCCCGCTCACAGTTTCCATCCCTCTTTTCCCACCTTTTCTCCCTTTCCCTTGTCCCTGTCCCACTCCCAGTCCCCAGGAAGAACCGTGACCTTCGGAGCCACAACAATAGCCAGGCTCGTGGCAGTTCATTGTTCCCTGCCAGAGCCCCCACTCTTACTCCCCCCTCGTCTCGCTGGAGCCCCCACTCCCGCTCCCCCCGCTCCTCGCTGTGCTCTGCTGCAGGCAGCCGGTGGTCCGGGGCTTTCCCTGCAGTTGTGCCCCGTGAAGGCCAGAGYTGTGCCATCTGAGGGCCAGGGGGTGACACAGGGACCTGGCTGGCAGCTGGCCCTGCTCTCCCTGAGCCTTATGCAATGCTGAGAGCGTTGCAGCACTTAATAAGGACGGTCCCTTGGCTGTCACCACAGGCAGAGTGCTGGCACGGCTGGTGCAGGGCAGCCCTGGGCACASCAGACCCTTTGGCCAGAGAGGTGGCACCGGGTCTGGGGACCACAGGCAGCAGCTCCACAGCCTGCACTGTGGGCCTGTCTGCTCAGAGCCATGTCTGCTCCTTCAGTTGTGCCCAGAGCCACGTCTGGAACTGGCCCTGCTCACTGCTTTGTGTGGTACCCCACAGCCCAGGGCATCCCACAGCATCCCACAGTATCCTATAGCCCAGGGCATCCCACAGCCCACATCAATCCACAGCCTAGAGTATCCCACAGCCCACAGCATCCCACAGCATCTGATATCCTACAGTAATCCACAGCATCCCCCATCCCTGWGCATCCCATATCCACAGCATTCCACATCCCACGGGATCTCAGGGCTGCTCCCCATGTGGGCTGAGCCCTTGCCACCCTTCTCCTGGGGCTGCTCCTCGGTCACTCTGGGGTCTCTCCACTTGCTCCCACAGCACTTGGCCAGGGCTCGCCGGCAGCACCACGAGCCCCATCTGTCCCTGCAGCGCTGCCCTGACGTCAAGGCTCTGCCAAGTTCAAGGTCACCTCTCCCGGAGGGCTGCGGCCCGAGGGGACATCGCCTGCCAGGCTGCTCTCGGCATCCCACACACACATCGGGCTGCCGGCCTTTGCTCCCTGATTTATTTATCTGTGCGTGTGCCTGTTCTCTCCTGGAAGGCACGTTCGCACAACGGGCGATTACTTACGCCCTAGTTGGGTCTGCCTGCCCGCTGCCTGCCCGCTGCCTGCCTGCTGCCCGCTGCCCGCTGCCTGCCCGCCCGCTGCCCTGGGATTTTGTCTCTCTCCAGGCTGCGGTGTAATAAGGGAGGTAATTAAGTGTAAAAGGCAGGAGGAGGGAGGGCTGGGAGGGGGGAGCAGCCCCGGCTCCTTTCGGAGGCAGGGGACTGCGATAATGTATGGTAATAACCGCAGCCAGCCCTGCCGAGCTGATAGCGCTGACGGCAGCGCCTGGGCCCCCCCAAACCTGCCCCCACCGCTGTGGGGAGGGGGAGCAGCACCAGAAGAAAGGCTCAGCCTTCCTCCACCGGGTTTGTGCCTTCCTGAGCAGCTGTATGGAAATAATTCCCATCGGAGGCAATTGTTTCCCTGACAAGAGGGAGGGGGCTGTGGGGGTACMGTGGGTGAGGGGTTTTGGGGACTCCCAAGGGCAGGATCATCCTCTTAGGGGGCAGGAGGAGAGAGATCAGGTCCCAGTCTACCCACAAGGGACATATCCTGCTACCGGAATGAGACAAGCTGCCCCACGGTGCCCCCACATCTCCCACTGGTCCTCAGTTCCCCTATCCTCCACGGATCCTGAGCACAGGCTGTGGGATCAGCCAGGATGTGTCAGAGGGTGCCCACTCGTGCCGGGGGCCAGAGCCTGCTGCCCTCATTCCTGCCCTCTCTGCTGCCTCAGCTGCAGGACCCCCACCACTGCCRGCTTTGGGGGCTGCTGGCCATTAGGTATTCCAACCACATCCTTCCCAGAGGCGTCCGGGTCGCAGCCGGAGCCCCGAAGTGGCTCCAATCCGTGGTCTGGTGCTGCCGCCGGCGCAGGGAGCAGATGCCAGACAAAGGGCTGGGGACAAAGGCCCGGCTGCCTCGTGCCCCAGGGAAGGGGCGCAGGCACGTGCAGGGCACGGGTGCTGTCCCATCCCGGGGCTGCCATRCCCCAGTGCCCACCTGGCCCCGCTCTGGCTGCCATGGCTGGGGCACAGTTGGGTACCCGGTGGCCCGGCATTGGTGCTGTGCCACCTCTGCCGTGGGCATTATGCCTGCACTGCTCTGCTGCAGGGCTCTGCCACAGCTCCTCTCCAGCTCTGCCCATCTCGGGGTGCAGCGGGGCTGCGATGGGGTGCAGCAGGCACAGGGCTATGGGGAGGGAGCAGAAAGTATGGGTGGGACCACAGCAGAGGATGGCTAATATCAGGCATGTCACTCATCCCACTGTGCCTCAGTTTCCCCAGCTGCTATTGGTGCCCTTGTCAATGTCCTGTGTCCCCCACCATCCCCCTCCCCATGGCCGCCTTTGTCCCCGCTCCCCCCAGCTGGCTGCAAACCCCCCATYTGGGGGCAGCTGCCACAGCACAGGGCCGGGAACATCACCGGTGCTGCCGGGTGCAGCTGGGGCTGTGCCCGCTCTGGGGGGGCTTTAGGGCACGATGCCAAACAGTGCCAGACCCCCCATGGGAAGGGACAGGACATGGCCCCAGTTGAGAGGTACCCAGGTGGGGGCACTGGCACAGACAGCCCCCTCAGCATAAGGGGTGTGGGCAGCAGGGACACACAGGGATTAGCAAACACCTTCTATTGCTTTCACGCAATGGAAACACCCTGTGCCCAGGCTGGGGACAAAACCCCGGAGCTGCTGCTCCCTGGGGACCTGGCAGAGTCCAGTGTCTGCAGCCATCCCGTCCCAGCACTGCTTCTCAGACGGCCAGCCTCGCTGATTTTGGGAGTTCATGCTGGCAAGAGCGGTGATCTTGGGGTGMCCACCCCACTCATGCTGGGCACAGCAGGCTGCAGTAGTCAGCAGATTTRAAAAAGCCGTAGACGTTGACAAGGGGGAACATGAGCAGCGCCCCGAGGAGGGAGCCCAGCTGCTCCAGCACCCCGTACCACACCAGCGCACTGTGGCTGCGGCTCCGCAGGATCACCCCGGCCATCACCTTCACGTARGAGAGCGTCCCGGTGAACAGCACCCACGAGAGGACCTGGTGGCACAGGTGGGAGAGTGGTCAGCATGGGGAGTTCCCTACTGTGGGGACAGGGGACATCATGGCAAGGCCACGTCCAGGTGTGGCGTCAAAGACCTCCCTGAGTGAGAGGGACCCTGTGACTTACGATGATGGCATCGCCCCACTGGGACTGCTGGAGGAGAGGGCAGGGACTCATCACCGCGATGGCCATGTTGTAGGCACCAAAGCCTGTCCCTGCCATGGTGAGGATGCCCATCAGGGTCAGGGACCTGCAAGGGACATGCGAGTGTCACTGGAGAACACTTCCCATCCCTGGTGAGTGGCACAGGCACGCAGCACATTCCGGCTCCTTGCTGGCTTCATCCTCCTTTCCTGGTGTGTCTGTACTGCCAAGGCATGGGCACCCCACAGACCGTCTCCCACCCAACACCTACACCCCCAACCCTTGCAAAGCAGGGGCCCTTCTTTGAGCAGAGCCCCTGGTGTGCACCCTGCTGCATCCCCCAGGACCCTGCGACCCACCTGCTGGGCAGGAACATGGCCACGATGCAGGCRAGGGGGTTGGCCATGGAGCTGAGCGTGGCTGCCAGGTGGTAGGTGGTGTGTCCATAGGGCAGGCAGGAGTAGGACTGCACGGACGGCAGGACCCCGTTAGTCAGTGCGCTCACCCAGGCGATGAGCAGGTAGATGAAGGTCAGCTTGGCTAGGGAGTAGGTGACCTTCTGTGGTAGGATGTCCCCAGGTCCCTTGGGATCCTTTGGGCATGAGCAGCCTCTGCTCAGCTCCCTGTCAGCTCCCTCGTCAAGGATCTGGTCAAATGAGTTCAGCACGATGTTGCTGGGAAAGAGGTGCTGCTGAGAGAGCTCCCACACCCTGGGCTGCCGAGTGAGGAAGTAGAAGGCCAGCAAGCAAGTCAGCATCATTGCAGTCATGAGCAGGAAAAAGACGAGGGTTGAGAAGTTGGGTGGGAGGTATTGAGTCTCCAGCTGGGAGATGGTGCTCTCCATGGTCTCGTTGCCGGTGGTGATGTTGACCTCGTAGCTGACGTTGGTGCARCTGGCGATACCAGAGCCCTGGCCCAGGGCAATGAGAGCAGGGATCAGCCCACTGAGCCCTTCACCTATGAAGAAGGTGGTYGTGTACTGGGGCTGCAGCTGCATCATGAAGGGCAGGAAGGTGACAGAGGAGGTGCAGTCCACCAGGGCCAGGAAGAAGGTAAGGATCAGGAAGGAGACGCTGTGGGACGTCCCAGCAATGAGRGACGTTTGGTCCCAGAGGAAAGCCAGGAGCAAGCAGGCCATGACACCCATGGACACGATTGTATAGATCACAGCAACTTCCTTCAGCAAGCCGGGCCGAAAGCGATTCATGAGGGTGACGAAGAGCGGTCCCACGTTGGCCATCTGGATGATGATGGTGATGTAGGAGGGCAGGTACCACTGCTCTGGCAGCACCGACACCAGCAGTGGCACCTCCACCCACAGCCCGTTGACGGCCACCCAGGAGCCCATGCCGAAGGCACAGGCCAGGATGTGGGTGAGCAGTGCCATGGCTCGGGGCTGGGCGCCTGGGCTGGGGAGTGACACTGCTGTGCTGTGGGGAGAGACTTTTATCAGTGGTGAGGTGAGATTTGACCCTCCCAGATCCCGGCCCTGTCCTCCCATGACCACTGCCTACGCTGGCAGAACAGCTTTCCTCGTACGTGCCRTGGACCCACAGCCCAGCCCAACCCCACTTTGCCCTCTGCAAACCCTGTGGACCCCTCTGCCCCCTTCAAGTGATGACACTGTGCCCTCCTGCCCTGGGTGTGGATCCTGATGATCTTCACCTGGTCTCATCCCGGAGAGCTGGGGCTTGGCAGCAGCAGGTGCGGTACCCAGGAGGGCATTGAACCTGTGCCAGCTCACGTTGGAGCTCGSTGCAGCCTGCAAGGGCTCGGCACAGCCGGCTGCAGGGTGAAGAGGGCTCTCACCTGGGGTCCGAGTGGCCTGGGCAGCTGCTCTGCTGGGAATGGAGGCTTCGTACCTCCCACTGCATCCGCTGGGCAGGACGACGCAGCGCCCGTCCCTTGAGCGATCCCGACACGCTCCGGTGGCCGCGGGACAGGCCCCAGCAGCCCAACCTGCAGCCCAGCCTCTGCTCGTACCAGTCAGCTGAGTCAGCTCGGAACCGGGCACATCCCTTGCTCACTCCCATCCCGCTCCTGGGCAGAACTCTCACGTCCCTTSTCCCTACGTTCCGTGCCCCCGGCAGTCCCGCAGCGCCGGCTCCTGCCCTCTCCCGGGGCGCTGAGGCCGACTGAGGAAATTCACGTCTCACGGGGCTGAGCCCGGCGGGCACAACAACGCACCCATGATGGCCCCGGCCCCGCGGGGAGGCAGCGGGCTTGGTTGGAGCAGGAACCGGGAAGGAAACGGGCTCCGGTCTGACCGGTCCCTCGGCAACCTCCCAAGGGTAACTCACTGCGCTTTGGGGAACCGGCAGCACCACGCGGGCGGGAGCCAGTCCTGGCTGCCGGAGCGGTGACGTGAGGCGGGCGCGTCACCACCTCCGGATGCGGACGGGTGACAGCCTGGCCCTGCTCTGCTCCTCGTCTTGGTCCCAGCTGGCAGATTCCCCAGCTCAGGGGGGTGATTATTCTTGGCGGTGTCCTGGACTTTGTCCTTGTCCCCGCCTGAACGGCGTCCCACCTATCACAGACTCTTCGTGCAGGTGAAAGTGTCAGCCGGTGACGGTTCCTGTCCCCATCAGGATCTCTGCGGGGTCACGGGTGGGCACGGGGCGCTGGGGGATCCCCGAAGGTGRCAGCTGTCCCACCTTGGGACACTGCGGGGATCAAGCCGTGAGCCAGCGGATGAACCACTGGCACCGGTCGGGAGGTGGCACGGGTGAGGGGACAGACCCCGGGTCACCCCCAGCACAAACCCCCCCTCTCCTATCCCAGCACCCACCGCCCCAGGATGGCTGATGGCAGCTCTTCCCCCAGCACCCACCGGGTGTCGCTGGGAGAGCGGGCTGCAGCCCTGTGAAATCTGGGGCTGCTTTCTCTCTTCTGCTTCCCTGCCCCCCCTGCCCCTTCGGGGGACTGCGGTCTGTTCCTCCACCCTGCCCTGCTCCTCTGGGAGCACCCATGGCAGCCAGGACCGTTGGGTGCAATGCAGGGGACCCTGGGGCTGCAGGGACAGCGGTGACCGTGGAGGGGATGGTCACAGTTGGAGGTGCTGCTATGGTTTAACCCCGTCAGGCAGCTCAGCTCCCCCCCAGCTGCTCACTCACACATACACCCCCAGGGGGATGGGGGACAAAATGGGAAAAGATGAAATGGTAAAAGGCACAAAACTGATGGGTTGAGATAAAGTCACTTTAATAGGAAAAGCAAGGATGTCCTACAGTCCGGGGTATACCGGGGTGGGGGGGGGGTGGTCGGGGGGGTGCACATCTATCCCACCCATGTCCCCTTGTTGAAAAATATACCAGTTTAAACTTCTTTTCTCCAACTTCAGTCAGAGATTTTATCAGCCTTTGCCACGGCGAAGGGTGCTGAAATTTTTTTGCAGGGCATTGTTTCACCCGGTGAGGCCTGATGAGCTTAAAATCGCAACAGACTGGGAGTAGCACGGAAGAGAAGGACCATCAGTGACCATCAAGGACCATCAGTGACCATCAAGGACCATCAGCGGCTTTAAAGGAACATCAGCTCCAAAACTCCTCCCTGGCATGGTCGGAGACACCTGGTCTGGGAAAAAAAAAGAGATCCTAATTAACATTAGAGGTGAAGAAATCCAGATCCAATAGGAAAACAAATACTAAGAACTGCGCAATGTTGGATCAATTAACGTTAAACCAATGAAGTTCTATGGGTTTTGATTGTATAAAGTTTGGGGAAAATCTTGTAAAATTCATGTGTCCCGAAATGATATCCTCTACACACTCAGGCTATATGTGGATGAAATTATTTCTGTTGCACATCCTGGCCAGAACTACATCCTGGCAAGAAAATAAAATAATGCCTTGACTCCYTAGCATTAAAAATGTTGGAGAGTTTTTGTTTTTCCTGCAGTTTCRGTGACCATTTTGGTGACTATGAGGGGACAGCACTTTTGACACTCAATGGATTCCAGGATTGTGAAAGCCTSCAAGTGCACATGGAAAATATTATCCAGGGAAACCTCACATTCCGGAGTTTCGGTGAGGTCAAAGCAAGATCCCTTTCTTTTTTAAATAAAGGCATTACTTTGGGATAAATATACTATGGTAGTATAATTGGATAATGAAAATAAATCACTAGTAATTRTGTAATTTGCTATCCTTTATTAAATACATATGTAAAGTTATATAAGTGATTATAAAAAATTGATTTGAGTGTTATTGCATTTATAATAGTGAATTTGAGTCTTGGTGCCTGGTTAAAATGGAATGGCATGGCAGATTCTAAAGTCTTTAGTGCACACAAGGTGTTTGTTTTAGGAATTTGGGTTCCTTGAGTTGGAAGTCTCAGAAACTTGATTTGGTATAAAGGGTACCCCAACTTTGCAACTGACTGGGTAAATGATGAGTTTATTGTGAGATGAGTTTATTGTGAGATGAGTCCTCCCTGTAAGTTCCCTTTTGCGTGGAGTTGCCTCTTTGTGTGGTTTGTGGCAGAAAGCCAGAACTGGCAGGTTAAAGTCTTGAAGCAAATTCTGCAAGGTATACTSTGAATTTGTTTCTTGTTTTGTGGGGTTTAAGTCYCTTCTGTGGTGTTTTGTGGRGTTCAAGTCCCCGAGGGGTKCCAGTAATCTCTGTGGTATTTTGTGGGGTTGAAGTCTCTGAAGGATTCAAGTCCTCTCTATGGCATTTTGTGGGGTTCAAGTCCTTTCTGTGGTGTTTTGTGGGTTAAAGTCCCCCTGCACCTTTGGACAGCAGGTTTGAGTCCTGCAGGKTGCACTGTGCTCTCCCGAGCAGTTYGAGTTTCCTTCTGTGAGTATTGAAGTGATTTTGTGGGGTTAAAGTGATTTTGTGGGGTTAAAATCCCCCTTGTGCTGTGGGCATGGAAGCACTGAATTCAAGCCTCAACTATAAAGAATTGCAGGTTTGAGCCCTGCAAGTTGTACTGTGTGTTTTTTTTTATTTGGCCCATGTGCTTTTCTACCCACCTGGGCTATTCATGTGGCAGGGTTTGCTCAGATGCTTTGAATTTAAGAACGTGTGCGTGTATGTGAATTATTTTTGTGAGTGTGTGTGTTAATTTGTGTTTTGCCAGCACATAAAATCAATGCGGGGACGCCCGTGAAATAAAAGTAATTAGCTGAAAGAGTGTTGAAACATAACTTTTGAGTATCTGTTTGTTTTTAGCGTGTGCTATTGATTATTGTTTTAGAATTGGKKTTTKTTTKKKTTTTTKTGTGTGTGTGAGTGGCTGCCCGGGCTGTTCCAGGCAGCCAGGAGCACAGCCTTAGAAATGCAAATTAACGCTGCTGAGGGGAAGGTGTGGACCATGCGTGCCTCTCCACCCCAAACTGCGCCAAAGAGGTTGCAAAATAAAACCAGCAAGCAGAAAAGACAGAAATTTCCARAGCGGGGGGAGGGATTGGCAGAARTTCATCCCTCTCCCCACTCCAACGTGTGTTACCCTTGTACAAGTTTATTTTGATATCATTAACAACTTTGAATGTTCAAGTGTATCCTCATCAGATAAAAAGCTAAGTATATCCAGATGGACGTGAGGAAAGGAGCCACTGAAGYCACAGAAGCAGGAAAAACTGCTGAAAAACTGTGAAAACTACGGCCAGAGACTCCTCTCTTACGTGAATAAAAAYTAACTCCAGATAAAATTAAYTCCAYTCCAAAGTGGAACACAAARGAACCATACYGAACAATACAGTAAACARTAAATCTRTTAAAAGCTACAGCGAAASAYGAAATTCCAAAGTGAAACACATTGAGTGGTTTACTTTTTTGTATTTCCAGAACAGTGTTATTCCTGAATCAGTCAGCTGTCCTAGCAGAACCTTGTAATATTTGTAACAGCAGATACGGCTTCAGATGTAGAAGGGTGAGTAAGCCAGAAAGAAGAGAGTGGTTCTCTTTTACTACCACTCTAACACACACACACATATAGGACAGGAGCTACATTAATAATTGGCTTATGAACTTGAATCTAAATTTTCAAAATTAGGATATAATAAATATAATCAGACAAAAATAGTTTTTATCTTAAAAATGAAAAATATTTCAAAAGGATGGCTGGCTACTCTAAAAACGCGCTAAGACTACATAAATTCTGTATTGATTGTCATATTTCTAACTGTTGTTGTTATTATGTTTATATTAATTAATGTTTTATAAGTTTTATATATTTTTCTTRCTGCCTTYMATAGTGGATGGGGAAATTCCTCCYTCAATKCAGTTTTGGGAGCTCATAWACTTATGGAAACTTATMTMTGTACCTCCTCCTRTCTCCTCAGGGCAAAACATAAAATTACCAMAGGAAACACATGTAGTAATGGTAAGACACATGCTACTGTGCAAAAATGTGTCAGCTGAAAAATTCTCTCCAGCTGCAGAAATGACTAAAAGAAAGATTTTTGGATTGGAGAATCACTGAAAGTTTTAGTTACAAATTCAATTGTGCTTTCCTCTTTCCTTTATGCTCTGTTTGCTAGAAATCCCACCAAAGTGGGGGCTGATTAGATCACAAAGGGAAAACTAACATTACAGTAATCCTGATCTCTGTCTTGAGCCACAGAGTTGGTTGCAAAAGACTGGAGAGATTGATGTGTCTGAAATACTTTTGGATGCCCATGGTGTAGGGAGGGGCAGGTCAAGCCTTGTCCTGCCAGGACAGTGAACTGCTCCTCAGGCCACCCCCAGAGCCAGCAAGGATTCCAGTCCTGCAAGGATCCCAGCCATGATCAAACACCCCTGGATTATCAACACTGCTTTCAGCACAACTCCAAAACAGTCCCACACTGGCTCCTAAGGGGAAAATTACCTCTATCCCAGTCAAAACCAGTGCAGGACCTCAGGGAACTTGGAAAGCARGGAACAGGTCCAAGATGCTGGGGCAAACCAGGCACAACGGGCTTGGGCTGGTCCCGGGGCGGCTGAGGTCATTGTGTGTCCGTGGGGATGGGGACAGGGAGGGGACAACAATTGTCCTGTGTTTAATTTGGCAGCACAAAGCAGYGGCTCGGGCGGCAGCGAGACCTTTCCCAAAGGCCGATGGCTGCGGGGCAGAGGCAGTTCGAGGGGGTGCGGGGTGTGGGACCCCCGCTCTGCCCCTTCACGCTCCTCACCCAAATCCACCCGACGCGTGCTGCCTGCCCTGCCYGTGCCTTCTCCGCCCCCTGCCCGCCCCGCAGCTGAGCTCCGGCCCCGGCCCCTCGCCCTCCGCACCCCGGCAGATGCGACTGAAGGGCCCCGGAGGCAGATGGCAACATTTGGTAGCCGAGTGGTCCCTGCCTGCGGGACTTTGCTGGGCTGTGATATCCATCCCTCCAGAATGTCCCGTCCTCACCCTGCCAGGGCTAAGGAGCCCATCCCAACCGCAGCCAGTGCAGGCCCGGGGGTGCTGTGGGGCTCCCCCATGGGGCACACTGCCCGTGCCATGGGGTGACAGGAGGGTAGGGAAGGATCAGCAGCCTGGGAGAGTGGGGGTCTGTCCTTGAGCTCAGCTCTGGCTAGACCCCCTAATAGATCCCCTAATAGATCCCCTAATATCTGGTTGTGTGAGCAGTGGGGATGGTCTGCCTGGGCAGGGGGTGGCAGCTGCTCCATTTCTGGGGGACAAGGGGACCCCTCACTCCAGGGACTACTGGCCACCCTATTTGAGTAGGCATGACACCCCAGATTTGGGGACCTGCTGACAGATCTCAGCCTGGACCCTGGCAGCCCCAGCCCCATTTGCATCCTATTTCCATGTGAAARGAGCAGGTCAAGTTGAAAGTTGAAAGGCTGGTGGGGGGCAGCCGGGAAGGGGCYGCTGCYGGAGGTGAGACCCCAACAAAAGGGCTGGATCCCCAGGGCCCGGCGCTCGCCTGGCCACGGGCTGCGGCCACGGCCCCACGGCAGCCGCCATCTGTGGGTCTGTGCTGCAGCCACCACCGGCCAGACAAAGGCCTCGTGCCCAGCATGTCCCCATCTGTCACCTCCCTGCCTCCTGCCTCCCTGAGCGGAGAGCGAGTGTGAAGATCCGGGTGCAGGCAGCATCATTCCCTCTGCCCACGGGAAGTGGGGTGATGCTGGAGCCTCCCTATTGTGCCCCCATGTTCCTCCTAGAGGGGTTCTGCAGAGTTCTTGCTGGGGAAACTGAGGCAGAAGCAGGTGGTGGCTTGTCCTGGATCAAGGCATGGCGAAGGSCTGGAATAAAACACCAGGAATTAACCAAGAGGAAGTGGGTGGTGAGCTCCCAGCTCTGGGGGTGCCTCTGCTTGCAGGGGTGTCCACATTGCTGAGCCCCAGCCCCGCAGCTTGGCAGGTGTTTCCGAAAACCCATAGCTGCCTCCACCCAGTGCTTCCAGGAAATTGGCTTCTGAGTGTGTTTTTTGCTCTTTGGCAGTTTCATTCAGCATCCAGGAGGTCCTGGAAGCGGCACGAAGGAGCGTCTGTAGAAGGTGAGAGCGAAGGCACTGCCAGCACTGATTGTCCCTGTGCTCACAAGCGCTGTCCCCGTGTCCCCGCGGCGTTGGTGGCGATGCTGTCCCGGCTGCTGGGGGAGCATTCCTGCAGAGCGCTGCCCTCCCCGAGCGTGTCCCGCGATGCTCCCGGGGAGGGCGAGGCTTGGGGCGCTGCCCGGATCCAACGCCCCGCTCCAACGGGCCCGACGTGCCCGAGCAGCTCCTGCAGCCTCCTGCCCGCACCCGTGGGGGGATGCAGCCGGCGGGCTCTGCCCTCACCTWCTGGGATTTTCCAGCCCAGCCCGTTGTGCGAATCTGGGCTCAAGGCAGCTCTGCGGCTCCCAGACTGCGTGCTTGCCTTGGCTCTTCTCCCTCCACAAGCTCCTTGTCTTGCTCCAGGAGCTGTTTGAACAATGCAGGGCTGTAACTGAGCTCCATGGCATGAGCAAAATGCTTGTTTCCCTCCATGCAGGGCTGAACCGAGATGCCTGTACTGTGGGGCCAGAGCCACCCTGGGGCTGGGTTCAGGCCAGCARGTCCAGGTGGCTGCAGGCTTGGTGACCCTGATCCACAATGTCACCTCCCTTCCTACTATCCAGTTTATTTTCCTACATTTTGGAGTTTATTGCTGCTGGGTGTGAGGGGAAAACAAGGTGAGATTTCCAAATCAGAGCAGGCCCTGCTGATTTGCCATACCAGTGATAGSAGGGGATSTGGGTGCCCACAGGAAGGCTGTGARTTTCCCCTGCATCCCTGAAGCCCTGACCCAGCACCAGGACCCTGTGCCCACAGCGAGCAGTGACATCCAGAAGCGTTTTGGCTTTGTCAGTGTGAGCACCTCAGGCCGTGTGTGCATCCAGGCTGCCCGGCCGGCACCGCGGGCTGAACCGGCACTGGGACGTCACCGGGCACCGTCACACTGTGTGACGCAGCCTGGCATGGAGGAATGCCCCGTGGTTTCGATCCCATGTGAGCGCTGAGTTGCCTCGGAGGGCGTCCTCACCCCGGCGCTGACTCAGCGGCAGCCACCGCATGCAGAACCGCTCCAGCACCCGCCAGCCGCCGGCACACAGGGGCACCGGGAGGACGTGGCTGGGGAGCAGCAGGCGTGGGGACATCCTGACACCGTGGGGACATCCTGACACCATTGGGGACATTCTGACACCGTGGGGACATCCTGACACCATCGGGACCCTCTCAGAGAGAGCAGAGAGAAGAAGTGTGGCGGCTGATCTGTGCCTGAGGAGGCTCCAGCGCCGCAGGGCCGATCCAGGTGGGTGGCGGAGGTGGTGCTGGTCCCGTGCTGGTCCGGGGCCAGCAGAGCGGGGCTGGGTGAGCTGGTGAAAGGGTCACAACCAAGGACTTCTAGAGCAGCTCTTTCAGGCAGGAGGTGACCCGGTGTGCCATGTCAGCCTGGCTGGACTGCCCATCCCAGGAGGGAGAGGAGCTGGGGCCACACTGGGCGATGCCTGGAGCTTAGATCCCCACACTCCGACTGGTTTTGGGGCATGGCATTATGTTACCGTGTTTTTGGGGCAGTTCGGAGGGCGGCTCYGCTCAGCTCAGCTCGGCTCGGTGTGGCCGTGCCAGCGCAGCAGCTGAGCACCGCAGGAATGTGGAGCAGCAGGTTGTGCCCGGCCGGGCTGTCCGTGCTGGGGAGGGGACCCCACACCGGCCACAGGTGGCTGTGCTGGGGGTCCCGTGTCCTTGTCCCTGCGCTTTGACAGCCATCTCCTCCGTGACTTGGCTGAGAGTGTGGTACAAAGCTGAGCTCCAGTGCCTGACACGGGGACATTTTCCTGCTTTGCCTTGTTTGGGGGGCACGTTTCCACCCCTGTGCTGAGCTGGGGAGCCCTCCCTGTGCTGGGCACAGGTACAAGGGCAGCAAGGATGGCCACTGGTACAGGCTCTGGGCAGCACTGCACCTGAGGAGTGCTGAGAGGGGTGCAGAAATCTGCCCCGGGGAGGCGGCAGGAGGATCCGTGCCGGTGCTGGGACCGTTCCCAGCTGTCGCCACGCCTCGYCGCCCCCCTGCAGACATTTTCCAGGTCAGGAGGCAGCGTGTCCCCCSAGGCAGGCAATGAGGACGGGGACAGGGACAGCCAGCCTCCCCCAGGCCTCTCGCCTGTCACAGCGTGTCAGGGGGATGCACCGTGTGCTGTGCAGGGACCCTGCTGGGGTCCGGATTTTGGGGGTGCTGGGRCTGACACGCTGTGCCCGTGGGCTGGCAGGGGGAGCAGACATGGCTCAGCTGTGGCTCAGCGGAGCCCTGGATGCCAGGGCTGGCTCTTGCCGCCGGCACTCAGCGCTGGGACAGGAAGTTTGTGCACGCAGGTGAGCGGGTGACGGTGGCAYTGCCTGCTCGGGGCTGCCACGGGAGCGASCGAGGCCACCGCGCACCGGGCCCTKCCCTGCCCTCCGCTGCGCCGGGTGAGTGCTGGGGCTTGCTGTCACATCCTCGCGGCTCATCAGTGCCCCAAATCGGCACCCTCAGGGGCAAYGTCAGAGCAGCTCGGGAAGGGGGTTGGGGGAGGGGTTGTGACCCACATATGCCCTTGTGTGCCCGGTCACTGCTGAGCCGCTCTGGGTATCGGGGCCACTCTGGGTGTGCTCACCCCTGGTCAGGGGGCTGCAGAAGGGTGTAAGGGTGGTTTGGGTGCCCCCCCACGCCCCGCTTTTCGCTGTGGGCGGGCTGGTGCCTCTGCGCGACCGTTGTGGCGGCTGCGCTTGTTGGGGTTGGCAGGGACCCAAGGATACGGGGTGCACAGGGCCCCTGGCTGCTCCGAGCGCACCGCGGCCGGGGAAGCACGGGTGGAAACCCCCACACGTGTCTTCCAAAGAGCTCCAGGATGGGAGCAGAGAGCCTGGGAGCAGCGCCGGAGCTTGCGAGAGGGCTGAGAGCTGAGGGAAAAGCAGAGGCAGTGAAGCACCGAATCCACAGCCCGGCAGGGTGGTGGGCGATGGAACCCCGGGCATGGGGGATGCACCCCTGGGAGCAGGCGATGCGCCCTCGGGGCATCGGTGATCCAAGAATATAGACGGAGCACCCCATGAAGCAATCAGTACTCCGCTGGGAGTGGGTGACCCACCCCTGAGTGCAGGAAATGCGCCCCTGGATGTGAGCAGTGCAGCCCTGAGCATGAACGACGGGCACATGCAATGCACCCCTTAATGAGGGCGATGCACCCCTTAATGAGGGCGATGCACCCCCGGCACCTGTGACCTGGGCAGAGCATCAGTGAGGGGGGCTCGGCTCTCTCCGCCCCGCTCGCTCCCCACGGTGCCCCTCGCCGGCTCCGGGGCGCCCTCCCCGCCGGCGCCATTGGCCCCGGTGGGGTTTGAAGCAGGCGTGCGGCGCGGATTGGCCGCGAGTCGTGTCGGGGAGGCTCGGCGGCGGCGGAGGCGTGGTGACCGCCTTAAAATAGGCAGCTGAGAGCCGGCGGCGCAGCCAGTGCGGTATCGCACAGCCCGGGCTGCCTTTGTCTGCCGTGGGGCCGGGGCGCGGGCAGGGGCAGCATCGCCGCTCTCACTGCGGCCCCGCTCTCACCCCGGCTCTTTTTCGCAGCCGACGGCACCTGAGCCCCTCGCTGCCCGTGGCGGCCGCCCACCCCGTGTCCCGGTGCCGGCACGGAGGATGCCCGTCGAGGCGCTGCAAGCCGGTGACACCATGAAGGGGGTGACGGTGACGGCGCCTTTCACCTCGGCCATGCCCGTCCGCATCCTCCGCAAAGGGCCCGCGTATTTCCGCCGGCACGCCGAGCCTGGGGCCGGGAAGCCCAGCGCAGTRGAGAGGCTGGAGGCCGACAAGGCCAAGTACGTGAAGAGCCAGAGGGTCGCCAGCACCAAGCAGGAGCCGGTGAAGCCACTGCTGCTCAAGCAGCCCCTCTTCACCCCTGGGGTGCGCCGGGCTGTGCTCACCCCCAGCCGCAGGGCACCCCCGGGGCCGCGCCGCACCGAGGCTGCCACCCCTAAGACATCTCTTGACCTGGAGATCCTCAACAACCTCATCAACCTGTGTGACAGCCCCTTCCCTAAGGCGGAGAGCCCGCTGGGCAGGGAGTGCAGGTGGCGGGCAGAAGCGCCGGCAGCGGAGGGGGCTGCCAAGCCACCGGAGAGCCCGGCCACCACCAAGGCCCCTGGCAGCGTGGCCGTGCGGAGAGTGGATGTGCGTCCCTGTGGAGCTCCGCGGAGCCCAATGGCACCGGTGCCTGCATCCCCCATCCCGGGCGGGCTGCCTGTGACCCCATCCCGGGGCTCACCCGCCCGCCCCGAGAGCGCCCGCCGGCAGCCGCTGCTGCACCGCTCCAAGTCGGACCTGAGCGACCGGCTCTCGCGGGCCACCGCCGACCTGGAGCGCTTCTTCAACTACTGCGGCCTGGACCCCGAGGAGATGCAGGACATGGGGGCTGAGCGCTTCGCCCGTGCCAGCTCCGACATCGTGTCCCTCAAGTTCCACAGCGTGAGCACGGCCAGCTCGGAGGCTGGCCACTCTCCGCCCAGCGCTGCCACGCCGGAGGGGCGGCCGGCGGAGCGTGTGCCCTACGGCATCTCCATCATCGAGCGCAACGCCCGCGTCATCAAGTGGCTCTATGGGCTGCGCCAGGCCAGGGAGCCCCAGCAGGTCTCTGATGTGTAGCAGTGCCACGGTGGGCACTGGGGATGGGTTGCTCACAAGCAGGAAATGCTGGATGGGGACAGAGCACAGGCTGTGCCCTGTGGGGAGCAGGGAACTCTTGGCGGTGACAGGACCRTCAAACTCAACCCTGTTGTGCCGCTGCATCGCTGGCATCAGTGTGGTGGCCAGGCATCCATCGTCAGACCCCTGAGCCAGCCCTGGAGAGCCAGGTCCCTTCAAGCCTGTGGGAAGGCAGAGGACACGTGTCCTTGGGTGTGTGGCTGGTCCCCAACACCCACGGGCCTCATGTGTGGCTGCCCTGCCTGCACYGCTGGCAGCTCCTGCCTGTCCTGCTCCTCCTTTGCACCCAGGGGTGGGGTGCAAGGGGCCGGTTCCCCCTGCACGGAGCAGGGACGYTGCACTGGGGAAGGAGCTGCCCCCTTGCAGCCTCCACCAAGGGGGTCCCACTGCCTGAGGTGGTGGCCACRTCCTGGTGGTCCCATCTTATTGCTGAAGAAAAGCCTGGTGCTTTGAGGGGTGAGGGGGAAACCTGACCCTCTGCTTCAAGCTGCCCAGGGCTGTGTGTCTGTGTGTGTGAGTGTCTGCGGGTGCCTGTGTCCCCCCAGCTGCCAGTGGGCACGAAGCCCCCACCACGCTGGGCTTGGTATTTATGAAGACAACAATTCCTCTTTTCTACTCATTTTCCTGATGTTTGATCTGTAAATAATAACAATGTTAATGCAGCCAGTTTTATTAAATGCCTGTGTTTTGGAGGCTGTGTGTTGTCTCTTGAAGCGGTGGAGGTTGGGATGGGGCAGGGCCCCTTGGGGTGTCTGTAGCCGTGCAGGGCTGTGGGTGCTGGAAGGGAATCACGGTTCCGTGTTGCTCTGTGCCAGCGCGGGGCCCGGCGGGCAYGGCAGGGCGGCGCTTGGGTCTGGCAGGTCCCGGCAGAGCCCCGGCCGTTGGGATTCCCCTCTGTGCCATGCACCCTCCCCTGCCTCCTTCCCTCGCTCCGGCAAAGCTTGGCCMGGTCCCGGCTCCCCAGAACTGGGAGATGGGGGCGGCAATAGCAGAGACCTCCCATTGGGCTGGGATGAAAGYCGGTGCAGGGAGTGCTTTGAAGATGAAAAGCATCTGTGTGTTCTCCCAGGGCATCCTCTCACGGCGCCACAGCCCCCCAGCACCTCAGGTGCCACCTGTGCTCTGAGGTCCCCATGCTCCTGATGTGTCCCATGCAGGCGGGTGTCTGCTGGGGGAGGTGACATCAAAACCGCCACTGCTTGCACCTGGGGGACCCTACCTGGACCCTGGGCCTTCTGCTGCCTCCCTCCCCTTGACAGGGGCTTCCATCCAGCGCTTTGGGGTCCCCAAAAAAAGCCCTCATGAAGAGGCATTCACCAAGACATCTTGATCCCTGTTTCGTGTCCACCCAGATCCCATGCCGGGGGGGGCAGGATCCGTCTGACTCCTGCTGGGGTCTTGTCAGGTCTGGCTGCTGGGAATGTGGAGGGCAGGATGTGGTGTCAGGACGTGGTGACAGGACATGGTGACAGGCCACGGGGATGGCATCTGGCTCTGAGTCAGGCTGATGTATTCTGGGGAGGACACRCACACCCAGGGGATCCTCAGTGACGGCACGTGGGGCACTGGGTGCCTCCCCGAGGAGAACACCCCGGAAACCACAGGGTGACAGGGACTCTGGGCACCCACTCAGGGACAGGCTTTGCCCTTGGGGAAATCTCTGAGGGAACCAAATCCTCACTGGTGGCTGGGACCGGCTGTGCTGCCGGATTCCTCAGCCTGGTGTGTCCCAGGGCTTGGTCTAAATTTGCTGCTATGGCTAAGGAGAAGGTGGAGGGGGCCCCCACCAGTCCCCAGCCAGGCAAGGGCTGAGCAGTCACATGTCAGRTGCTGCCAACCCTTGGCGTGGCTCTGATGTCCCATGTCCTGCATGAATGGCACCTGACATGGCCATCCAAAGCCCTGTGAGCTCACACGTGCACRCATGAACCTGTGCGTGCAGGACGTGTGTGTATGTCCATGCACACGTGTTTGTGAGCAGTATTTCATGTGCACACACAGATGTGCAGCCAGCAGCCGCGCTCTCCGGGCAGGATTCTCCATCTGACCCCCACCCACAGGGCTGCCAGCGTGAAAACCCGGCACAGACGTGTTCAGACGTGCGTGTCCCCCCCGGAATGCTCCCCCTGTCCTGGGGACAGCAGGAGAGCCCCGTGCTCCCTATCGCTTTCCCTGGCAGCTGCTTCCTGGTGGCTCCGGTTTCGTGGGGAGCGCAGCTGAGCCCGTCGGTTATTTCCAGGGAGGAGGGACAGCCGGGGAAATGTCCATCACCCTCTCCCTCAGTGCTGAGATTCCCCATGGGTGCCCCATGTGCAGGCGGGAGGTGCAGGCAGGCAGCCAGGACAGAAGGAAAACTGGCAGCACCGCCCTCCCCGTGTTTTCCATTTTTTAATTATTCCCCACTGATGAGCATCTTCTGGAAGCGCCAACAACGTCACGTGCTTTAATCAGTGTTAATTAGCGGGTGCCTCGGGACAGTGATGAGGGCAGGCAGCAGGAGCTTCCCCGCTGCTGTGTGCACAGCCGGTGTCGGTGCCAGCACCCACCACCTCCCACCTCCCACCTCCCACCTCCCAGCCCCATCTTCACCCAAGCCCCCTCCCCACCCACAGACCCCCAGCCCCTTCCTGCCCATTTTGGGGCCCTGCGGGCCCCCTGCCAGTGCAGTGCCTGCTCCCAGCAAGTGTCATCCCACACTGGGCCACTGACCACCCCAGGGCTGSTCTCCCTGGAGGGTTCCCAAGGACACCCCCTACTCTCCCTGTCCTCTCTGGGAACTGGAGACACTCAGCCCCATCCCATGAGGGGCAGTGCCTGTCCTGCCGTGCGTGGGGACATTGGCTTGGGCCATGCTTGGAAGGGGACAGCCTGTGGCCCTCTGCATGGCTGTGTCTGGATTAGAGGGGAAGGAGGGATGTCCCCAGTCTCCCATGTTCCTGAGGATTCCTGTCCCACCCAGCTCCTCCAATCCTGCAGGAAAGTGGGATGGTGGGAGAATTACAACCAGTGAAAAGGCAAAGCCCCCATCACATCTGGGATCCCCTCTGAATGCACATGGTCCCAGGGGTTTTCAGACYCCCATCACTGGGGAGTCTCAGTGCCCGGTCCCCAAGACAAACCATGAAGCCCAGCAGAAATTCAGGGAGARAAGCTGAGGTGGGATCAGGGGGTTTCCATAGGCTGGAGCCTACTTTGGCAGGTCTGGCTCTGTCCCACTCCAGCTCCTGCAGCTCCAGCTCCTGCAGCACACTTCACCCCTGCCCACRGCTCCTCCAGCATGGCCATGGTGACACTGCAGGCTTCTGGAAAATGGGATTAACAAGAGTAAAAAATATAACTCGTGGCAAAGGTTCCCTGCAGAAGCTGGGCTGTCTTATCTGCCGCCAGCCATCCCTTGTCCCAGACTTGTCCCTCAGTGCTGGCCCTGGCCGTGGGCACGTTAGAAGCTGGCGGGTCGGATCATCATGCGGGTGCCCTTCAGGGAGTAGCTGGGCCCCTGGAAGTGGTGCCAGCGGATGCCGTTGAGCTTGCGGATGTTGTTCCGGGCCGGGTAGTAGATGCCGTTCAGGTTGGAGAGGCCACAGGCATCGAACCACCATCCTGCAGGGAGGGAGYGGGGYGGGAGGGTGGCATCGYGGGCAGACACCCACGGGTGCTGCGTGGGGCCGTCCCCCTGCTCCACTCACCTCCCGAGAGCATCTGGGCACACTTGCAGAGACAGTTGTCATTGTCGGCGTCRCGGGTGCTGAACTGGGTGCCCTGCAGTGCCAGGCCACTCTGCTGGCCGGCCGTGCCGCTGTAGTCCTGCAGTGACAGCCTGTGCCCAGCAGGAACACAGCCACTGTCACTGTGGGCTGCTGGGGGGGCCACAGAGCCCCCAGCACTGCTCAGGGGGCAGTGAGCTGAACCCAGAGRGATGCAGGCAGAGATCCTGCCATTCCAGCTTGGCCTCCTCTCCTGGGGCTCCCCAAGGGTGGAGGTTGWGCTCTGCCAGGGCAGAGGGGACACTCCGAGCCTCCTCCAGTGCTCTGTGCGGGGTGTCAGCTCAGTGCAGGCATGGGATGGATGGTGKGGGGCATGTCTGGGGTCTGGTTCCACCTCCAGCCAAGCAGTGAAGGCCCCAGTTGCCAGCCCCCTCCTGCCTCTGGCCGGGAGCACAAGGTCATGGCAAGCTGGGCATCAGGAGCACAGGATCCTCCCCTGGGCATGGACAGCCTGGGGATGCCCAACACCCCTGGGAGTGCCTGGTGGCCACAGCTGCATCACCTCCCTTGCCCAAACAATGAGCCCCAGTACAAGCACCCCGGTTGCTGCCTGGGATAGAATTCCCAGTGGGATGGCAAATCTGCCATTGCTGCAATTTTACACATTAAAAATCTACTTCTCAGGAGCCCAGGGAGAGATGAAAGTGTCACAGCAACATGCCTGGCACCTGGCATCATAACTACACCAGGACAACCCACTGAAAGCCCAGGTGATGCTGCATCTCCCTGGGGCACCACATCCAGATGCTGCAGGGACAGATGGACACGGGCAGCGCTGGCTGGCTGTCCCCAGTGCCTCTCTCCTACCTGTAGAACTGCCGCTCGCTGCCCAGCTGGAATTTCCCGTAGTGGGCATACACCTGGCCGCCCTCCCAGTCCTGCAGCTCGACCCGCAGCGTGTAGGGTGCCCGGCTGGTCAGCAGGTGCACGGCCTCATTCCCCAGCCAGTACTCGCCCGCCGCGTCCCCGAAGCCCTGGCGAGCAGCAGGGTGAGTGAGTTCAGGGTGCCCGGGGTGCCCCCGGGGTGTTCCCCGCCCCKCTCGGGCACACACCTGCTTGTACTCCCTCCAGCTCCTCTGGAAGCTGAGGCTGCCGTTGGCACGAAGCTGGATGATGGTCCAGCCCCCTCGATCCGTCTCCATGTCACAGTATGCCTGCAAGGGGAGTGAGGGATGGGCTGGGGATGGCTTGGAGTGGGTGGCCAGGTGCATTCCTGCCAGGCTGGGCAGCTCAGCACGAGTATTCCATGGCTGAGGGGCTGGCAAGGATGTGCTGTGCCCAGTGCCTGGTTGGGGGGGGGGGGGGGGGGGGGGTTGTCTCTTCTCCCTCCATTGCCATGGGCAGGGGCTGGGGTCTGGTGCTTACAGCTCAGGGTGCCTTTAAAATCAGTTTTATATGCAAATTTGGAAGGTTGTGCAGCCCTGCTTTTGCTCCATGGATGCTTCCTTCACCCCTGAGCTGTCCCCAATGCTGGAATGTAGCACACAGCAGGGATACACCCTCTGGAGTGCACTGGGGTGGGCAACATCCCAAGGTGCTTCAGGGGACACCTCTCTGGGCTGTGCTCACCTTTTTGGGCTCGCTGAGGTTGGCAATGTGCAGGGTGTAGATGCCGCTGGTGYGGATGCCCGCCCGGTGCATCTCGGCACAGTCCTGGAATTGCTGCTCCTGCCCAGGTGACACGGCTGCAGCAGAGGGGACAGTGAGAAGGCAGCAACCCTGCTGGTCTCGCAGCCCTGCCTGGTTTTGCTGCTCTTCCCTCTCCCTTTGGATGCCTTTGTGCTCATGGATTATTTTTCTTCCTTCTGTGCTATTTCCCGAGGCTGGGCGATGCAGCTGTGCCACCAGGGGCTGCTGCCAGCCTAACCCTGGGGCTTTGCTGTGGCTGGGAATGGCATCAGACTACGGAGCCTTCCCGGGAGCTCCAAGCTGCTCCTCTGATGCAGTGAGTGGATCCTTTTCTAGTGGAAGGTGTCCCAGCCCATGGCAGGGTCATGCAATGAGATGAGCTTTAAGGTCCTTTCCAACCCAAACCATTCTATGACTGAATAATTATATGATTTCTGAGGTGAAGCCGCTCAAGCTGAGCTTTYAAGGGGCACCCAGGCACCCTCCTAGGAGGACGAGGATCTTTGCCACTGCCCCCATTCTGCCCGCACACCCCGCTCACCTCTGCCCCGGGAGACGAGGCGCACCAGGCTCTGGACGGACTGGAGGAGCTGGAGCTGCTGGCGCTGGAGCAGGCTGGTGTTGGCGCTGGCAGCCAGCAGCGTCTTTTCCATCTCCTCGATGGCGCCGCTCTGCCGGCTCAGCAGCCGCTGCAGCTTCTCCTTCTCCGAGTGGGCCCCCGCCAGCTCCGCCCGCTGCTTCGTCTCCATCTCCAGCACCCGCACCTCCAGGATGCTGGGAGTGGGATGCAGCGGTGATGGGGCGGCAGARCGGACCCAGCTACAGCTGCAGTGTCCCGGTGTCTGCAGGGACCCACTGCTGTCCCCATCCCCTGCTGCACCCCCTGAATTGCCCCCTCACCTCCGGGACGTGCCCAGCCAGGGGAACCCAAAGCCCAAGAGGCCACGCTGAGGCTGTGCAACCCCCCAGGKACTCCAGCCAGCACCTGGAGGGGTTCAAGACCCCCCAAAGTGCAGTGTGAGGTGGAAGAGACCCGCCTCCCTGTGGGGTCCGAGGGCTCTGGGGGTCCCTGAGCTGCTCCAGCCCCTACTTGTTTCTGTTCTGTAGCTTGTGGATCTCATTGGTCTGCAGCAGCAGCTGCTTCTCCAGCTTGGTGGTGGACAGGGAATTCTCCTGGAGCTGCATCTCGATGCGCCACGTCTGATTGAGCACCTGCCTCGGGAGCAGAGGGGAGTTGTCACCAGCAGCCGGAGCCACAGCACATCCCTGGTGCCACCGGGCTGGCAGCTCACACAGCCCCGGCACCTCTGCCACGGGTGCATTAAACCCTGCGGCACCTCGGGGAATTGCTTTTATGTGCCCTGGCACCCACCAGGGTCTCAGGGTGGGGGGGACATGGGGACACATGGCACACCTGCGCCTCCACGTCGGTGAGCTTGCGGCTCTGCTCGGCGCTGCGGTTGAGGAGGGAGCTGCCGATCTCCAGCATGGTGGCGGTCTGGTTCTGCGCCGCCGTCTGCCGCAGCTCCGCCRTCTCTGGCTTCGCGCCGCTCTGGAGGTAGCTCTCCAGCTGTGGAGGGGAGTGGAGATGCTGTGGGTCATTTGGGCACCTCASTGGGCCCTGTCTCAGCACCCCCAGCTGAGCCTGGCATCGCTGGGCACAGCCCCTAGGCACAGCCCTGTGTCTCAGCATGGCTCGACCCACYTCAGAGCCCTTGGAATCTGATTTATCAGAGGACAGAGCAAGCAGCGCTGTGAAAGGGAGGCTGCTCAGGCACCGGCTGCCAAGATTCCTGGGCTGTGGTACCAGCTGGGGCCTGGCACGGGCTTGTGCATGGCCAGGTGTGCTGGCGAGCTGGGGCTGATGCCCAGCTGGCGTGCCCTGTGCCAAGCAGCCGGGCAGGGAGAGGCTGGCATTGCTATCGGCACTGGTATCAGCATCAGCTGCCAGCCCCCAGCCACTGGTTTCCCAGGGAGGGTGGGGGGCCACCATCAGCCAGGGAAAGTGGGTGTCCAGCACCCGGTGCTGCCCCTCCACGCAGAACACTTGGGGCTGAGAAGGAGCTGGCTGCGGACACAGCTCGGACACAGCTGAGATGAAGCTGGCTGCGGACACAGCTCGGACACAGCTGAGATGACGCTTCCGCTTTCCCAGCCCGCGGGGGAGCCGCCTTTCCCAAAGGCTTTGCTATTTCTGGCAGCCCCGCCATGAGGTTCCCATTGAGCCCCTCCCCAGGGCGATGGCCTCGCTGGGGGCACGGTCCCTCGGCGGGGGCCTGGGGGAGCGGAAGGGGCCGCGCTGCCGCCCACGCTGGGAAAGCAGCCCCTGAGAGCCGGAGGGACGGGGGCTGCCCGGCTCCCTGCACCCCGCAGATCCTGCTGTCCCTGCAATGCCCACATCCTGCTRCCTGCCCGAGCTCTCCACTCAGTGGTGCAGACAGAGCCCCCGCATTCCCCTGCACCTCGAGGGGTTGTGCACCAGAATCCGCAGGGTTGGGATGCTGCTCTCCCAGCAATGCGGAAAGCAGGCAGAGAAGCCGGGATGTTCCGCGCTGTGGTGGGAATGCAGTGGTGC